TAAAAAAAAGTCAGCTTACCTTAGAATTATGAGTGATTATTTCTTTACATTCCTGGCACGTATTGGCGTACAGGTGATCATAGCACGGGATGCAGTGGGGGTTGTCCTCCACCTGGATGTACTTGCGTCCGTAGAGGGACTCGTGGCAGTTCTTGCAGTCGAACCGATCGCTCATGATGTCAAGCCGACCTCCTGCGAACAAAGAATTCACAGTTTAGCAAACACTGTCAGCAGCACGAAGGCAAAGGGAGGATCGGGGGCGAGGGAGTTGGTCAAACACTCATAGAGATAGAAGGAAAGGAAAAAGGAAGGGAAGGGCCAACACAGCTGTCGCTTTCAAATACCGTGTTTTCCACACTAAAAGGTGCACTGGATTATGAGGCTCACCTTCAATAAATGGCCTATTTTGTAATTTTTCTCATATATTGGACGCACCGAATTATAAGACGCAATCTACAATGCATCCACTAGATGGAGCTACGCTCAAGGAAATGCCAACAGAACGATCAGATGTCAGTAAAACTTATTTAAGAAAGCAGCGACACAGTTCACTTAACCAACAGCAAGTTATAACATTGACTCGTTAACGTTGAACTCTCTTGCCGCTGCCCTACTTCCGTGTTTAACTGTGAAACCGATCGCCTTAAGTTTGAACTCTGCGTTGTTAGCATGTCTCTAGCAAGGAGCCATTTTGGGGTTGACATATTACCGCAATGACCATACACAAGGCGCATCGGATTTTAAGGCATGCTGTGAGCTTTTAAGAAAATGGAAGGCTTTTAGGTGTGCCTTTTAGTGCAGAAAATACGGTATTGTGAAGGTGAATTTCTCAACAAAAGGTGAGAAATAGAGAGAGAGAGAGAGAGAGAGAGAGAGAGAGAGAGAGAGAGAGAGAGAGAGAGAGAGAGAGAGAGAGAGAGAGAGAGAGAGAGAGAGAGAGAGAGAGAGAAGCAACATTTCTCAGTGAAATTCAGTTCAACACTCGACAGACATTTATGGTTAAATACTATAACCAAACAATATTACATGTTCACTGGTGGAGTTATCAATCAGTCAGGAATCGTAGTTTTAGCCTTTATTTGACCTCCAATTGTTTGGAGATTAATATTAGCATTGTTAGCCACGTGAGCCACCCTCCTTGATGGTTTAAGATAAGAAAACCTTTATTAGTAGAAAGTCATTTTAATGTAGCTCATGTGTGCGTTCATAAATACAAATACAATCTTACATCTGTAATTTGTACATCTGCCATCAGAATTTTTGTCTTTTTTTTTTTTCTTTTTAATGTGACAACATTTGGCGCATTACATTTACCAAGACCAGGCTGTTTGAGTTCCATCTTTTTACCCTAATTTGGGCACCATATGGCTTTGTTGTGGCTCTCTGACATCATAAAAGAGGAGATGACCTCAACAAAGTGCAGCTGAGAAACCAAAAGGCTCCGAAATGTTCCTTGGGGAACATGGAATGAGCCGAGACTTCCCTCCTAACTGCCTCAGTGGAAGACCCGAGTCGAAACAATGACACGACCCAGAGCTCACAAACTACCGAAGGCCTCATATATTTTTCTGAACATAAATGTTGCCTTTTATTATGAAGGCGGCTTGAAATAATGATCATTTACGAAAAGGCTTCCTGCTCTAGAATGCTGACCTTTACGGATACTGCGTTCAGCAGCTTTTTAAGTCTGCATTTGGTGTGTCAAAGAACTCATCTTTTACATCTCGTTTACATTCCGCATGTCTGCGCCGACATAAAATCCAGTAACCAACGATGCAGCTACTGTATATGAGATAAACATGCACGGAAAGATAAACAGTTTTCTTCTTGTCTTAGGAAGACACTGGAACGAGGGAAGATCATTTGAAAAGAGACTTCTTTAACCCTTTGGTATGGTCGTACTGGGAGTTAAGACAACCCTCCCTGCTGATAATGTTTCCTCTTGCTGGGTCCAAAAAAAAAAAAAAACATTCAGAGGAAAAAAAAAACCCAAAACGAGTCAAGTCAAAAAATCCCATCCTGTCCGTTTCGTGTCACACGGAGCATTGTGAGCGAGAAAACCCGTTCCGACTTCCCTCTGAAAATGTCTAAAAATGTCCATTTTCTATTCACGTTGACGCTTGACTGCGATCAATGGCCGCAACACAACAATGGCTTTCCTTCCGGACATAGTCCCCCCCCCCCATGTTTCTCGTCTTAAGTTCAGCCACAACAGATGCAAACATTGTGTGGGCTGCAGCTGTTGTCGTTAATTTTTTTTTACCCCCTCCCCATTGCGCATCCCAATGGATTCGTATGGGATTGATGCTACTGCAGACAAACAGCGGTATCAAATATTTGCTTTGCTGTTTATTTTGCTTGTCATTCACGCCAGATTGATCCATCACTATTCCAAACTACCCCACCCCAGAATGACTTTTTGCCTGACTGACTCAAACATGGCTGGAATTGTCACACCCATACTAAATGTGTGACTTAGGTGTGTGTGTATTAAAAAAAAATTAAAAAAAGAAAAAAAAAAAACGCCACCATAACAAAGTCACCCATCTCTCTCTTGAATGCCAGCCGAGCCACATCCAATATGGCTACCATATCTACACGTCGTATGGCGATGGTCCGGGCTGCCAACCCGGAAGTAAGTCCATGTTTGAGACGCCAGAGATAAACGAATCAATTTCACTCATCGATAACTGTATACTATTAACCATAATCATCTAAAAACAGACACGCGTATCTTCTTGGATATTTGTCTCACAATATTTCATTTTCACAAATTTTTATGCCTCTCAAGATAATTCGGTTGCGCGAGAGGCCGACAACGCCCCATAGCGCCATCTGCTGACCAGCCGACACTCCCCCCCCCGTGACTATTTCAACCATCACCTTGACGAGTGCACATGCTGCATTCAACAAAGTCCCTCCCACTGAGATATTTAGCAGAGTCCGCTTGGCTGCGAGGGCTTTGGAGCCAGAGTCAAATGGCAACATGTCTCCCGGGATAAGCCACTGAGAAGAATCCTGTCTAACGTCCCGGCGTGGTTCGCCGCTGTTGTTTTACTCGACAGCGACTTGACAGGTTTGTTACGACCGTAGCCAGGAAATCCACCCGCCCCACGCGCTCCGCTGGGGTCGCCGTTTATTTTCCCAGCGGAGGAATTCAGACAATTATTCCATGATGAAAACCGCTGTCGTGCGTAATAAAGTGCAGTTTTCATCAAGCGTGTACAGAACATGTGTCGAATCTGTGATAGCACATTTACGGATTGTAAATCAGTCTCGGCACCTTTTTGAGGAGAGTGTGGGGTGGTTCCATCATTATCCTGAGGCAGACACCCAAATTGGCCCACGTTTGGTTTAAAAAAAAAAAAAAAGCCTTTCCAGCACCATCAGTGATCACCATATGAAAGATTTTTAACCTGAAATGTTGATGCAAAACTTAAATTTCAAACCCATTTGGGGCGTAAATGGCGCATTTCATATCAAGGTGTAATTGTTTGCATCTGCGTGGTCTCTGGTTTACGACCACATTATTGTTGCACGGTTCTTTTCGTGGAAAATAGCAGCAGCAGCAGCACATCTTTGAACCTTTTCCAACTTGGCTGCAAATTATTAGGATATGCTGAGGAAATGGTATGAGAACAGAAACTCTTTGAGTGTTTTTCTTTTTTCCCCCCCCTAAGGTAACAATCGGCGCTTTCTTCTTTAATGTAACACCCGCCAAATGACCCAGAGCGGTACAGTCAGTAACAAAGTGGGGTTATAATTACCTCCCAAAATTCAACTGTTTATTCCCACAGAGGAATAGATTTGGAGGGGGTTTAACGGCTTTCTCCGGCTCAGCACAGTCCAGATATTGTTTGGCTCTCGACTTCCACACCCTTGACTTTGGGGAGGGGGCGGGGGTGGGGGTGAAAGAGAATATTGATGGAAGTGCGCACACAATGCTGGCGTCCCATCGAGGAGCCCTGCCTGCAGCTCTGGAGGAAAAGTGACACCCTCGGGTTTGCAAAGTGCTAACAGTAAAAACAAAGAAACAAAGCTGCTCTCTTGCAGCCATCAGATGACTGCACCACCAGTACAATGTGCTGTTGTTTGCGGCCCCTTGACGCCACTTGTACGTGCACACACACAAAAAACACAATTCGGGTAACACCAATTAAGAAAGGCAACTCTGAACTGAAAAAAAAAAATGGACAGTGTATTATACGCATATTTTTTCAAGTAACCTGTCGCTACAAATAACAGTAATTGGTTAAAAAACAAAAACAAAAAAACACTCATTTGTAAAGTGAAATGTATTGCAGGGTGTCTGACGAACGCCAAAATGAATCACCGAATAGACCGCAGAGATGGAGGGTGAGGGGGGGCAGCTTCACATTCACCTTCAGAGGAACAGGTGAAGTGATGTGAATCAATTAGAGATCATCATCCACTCAAGGCAAACGTTACCAGCTGAAATGCTGACTATAGACAATTTAAAAAAATAATAATAATAAAAAGATTTTCCAAGCAACTGTTTTGTCACAGCGGGGTGTCCGCTTTAGGTCTTGGGTGTTAACGTCACAAGTGCTTGTTATCTGAGAGACGCAGCCTGGAGGAACGCTCGGGCTATTTGATTTGTTTGTCTTTCATTTGGAAGTTGCTTGTGTGCCGCGCAGACTTTTTGAGTTGGAGGTGTTTCTTTCGCCTATAAATGGTTACGGCAAAAGGCAAGACGTCAAACCTGCACAAGAGGGAAGTTATGCAAGAGGGATGAATAAAATTTTTGTTTTTTTTTCCAGTTTGGGGAGTATATTTCTTCTTTTCATTTGGTTCCAGAGAGTTGGAGAACATTTATGTTGTACGTCTTTTAATCTTTTGAACTTGAGCTATGATGTCTACAAGCACAGGATTTATTGTTTCTTTGCTTTTTAACTGTCTTTTGGGGGCTTACTGTGATACAACAAGTAGTATTTAGAGAAAAGTAACTTTCGAAGGGAGGGAAGGTGGGAGGTGAATACACCCACATACGAAAAGGGAGTACAGTATCCCAATGTTTTTTGTTTTTGTCCGTGCTGTCACTTGTTGACAAAGCTAAGCTTGAGTATATTATTGTTATTTTTACTATTCACGCTTGTTTGAGATTTAAAAATGCTCTAAAAAAGTACTTCAAACACTGCCTTGAAAAAAATAGTTTTATGATGTACATGACATGAATTTGGCCAGGCTATATTTTCCTGCCTGATTTCAGTTGCTACGCGAAGCAAATCTGTTGCTGCCATATTTCATATTGAAGAAATACTCATATTGGCATGCATTGTTCCTATCATTCGGACAGGATAGTATTCGCTCTTCTCCACTGAATATTCTGGGTCAGTCTCAACTTTTTTCCCCCAATGTAAGAATTTCAGAGGAATGTGACTGCGGTCAAGACATGGCAAAATTATGCAGCTCTGAGAAACGAGTAGGAAAAGAACATTTTTCTTCCCGCCCTGTTTTATTTAAGAGCAAACCCAATTACTGTGTGAAACAAATGACAACACCTCTTCGGAAAGAGAAATGGAATGCCTGCAGGAGTTTCACCCAAATGGCACAAGAACAAGATGCTGGTGTGATGCTGGATGGAAACTATGAACCTGATGGATGATTTTCTTAAGGGAGAGGAGGGGTTTGGGGGCATCGAGCATAAGAGACATGATGTCATTTTAACTCACACTTATGAATTAGCTCTAAACATGTTTTAAAGAATAATTTGTCTTGTAAAAAAGAGAAAGCAGGAGACTATTTTCTCTCAAATACTTCCATTATGACTCTCGTAAAAAAAAAGAAAAAAACAACAACACTTTAATTAAAATACTAAATGATATAAGATTGAACACTGACGCAGGGAAGGTGTCAGTTCTCATCTTATTGGATCTCAGTGCAACGTTTGACATGGTACACTGTTAAACAGGCTGGAAATTTTGGTTGGACTAAATGGAACAGTCCTAAAATGATTCAGGTCCTACTTGGAGAAAAGTTATTTGGTGACCATTGGAAGTTTTAAATCTGATCAAATGGTCATTAGATGCGGGGTTCCTCAAGGGTCAGTCACTGGTACCATTTTGTCCAGTCTGTATATGCTACCCTTATCAATGCTTTTCTCTTCAGTAAACTTGATTATTGCAACGGTCTTCTGACTGGACTCCCTCAGAAGAGCATCAAACAGCTGCAGCTCATCCAGAACGCTGCAGCTGGGGTCCTTACCAGAGCAAAGAGATCAGAATAGTTTACTCAAGTCCTAAAGACTTACACTGGGACCCACTACATTTCACATTTCATTTCCCTTTAAATGTTGTAGCTTGCCTCTAAATGTGGCCTTTATTGTTTTTGTAACTACTGTATATGGATCATACTAAGTTACCTTGCGTATGAATACCCACTATAAATAAAGCTGCCTTGCCTTGCCTTGCCTTTAGTAGTAATAGTCCAAACATAAGCTGCCTTGCCTTGCCTTTAGTAGTAATAGTCCAAACACTTCTGACACACATTTTAGCCCCCCTCCAACTACCTCAGAACATTTCCATATTCTCAAGAAAGGACATCCTTTCGGGCGCATCCTGGATGGCCAGAGTTACATGGTTGACTTCAAAATGCACCAAAAATGTGTATATGTGATTGTCTTTTATATATTTGCTAAAACTGAATAAAAAGGGATTTAAAAATAAAAGACACGAGTGAAAGACGCCAAATGAACGATTGAGCACACTTTTACATTGGGAATGAAGGCGTTAAAAACCACGCATACGCAATCAGTGTGCATCGAGGTTTCAGAATTAATATAAGACGATCGTACATCACATCATGTAGAGATTCAAAGTAAAGGCATCTTCGTTATCGTCCCAATATACAAACTAATAAATAATGTTGGACTTTACCTTTCTTTGCGCATCTGAAGGCAGCGGGCAGCGTTTCTCAGCCGGGTCTTTTGTTCCACCCTGACCGAGTGTGTGTTGCCCCTGTTGACAAAATGACAACTAATTACAGCCCTGCGTGGGTTCCTCTGGGGCTCGCTTGCGTCGAGTTTGCACACTGACTTGAAACGGGCTCTTCGGATGCGTAAAAAAAAAAAAAAAACGCCAAGCATTCCTCTCAAGCACCGCCCCCTTTTTTTTTTTGTCCCTTCTCTGCATCGTCTCGACCTCCTGTTGGCTCCTCGGCGGGAGTTCCCACTCCGAGGAGGCAGATCGTTTGTGGCAAATGAGTGCGCGTCGAGATAATTAGACGTACAGAGAGCTTGTGAGAAAATCAGCTGGCTCCCAACTGCCACTTAAGTGTTTGTTGACTACAATCATTCCATATGGAAGCTGTGGGAGCATTCCGCAATAATTATCCCAGCTTCAACCCCCTTCGCGTATCAGTTGCACCCCCCCCCCCCATTCCATTTCCCCCACTTTGTTGTATTTATTTTGTTTAAATACACAAGTGTGGCTTATTTCTTTATCGGTCTGGGCAGGAAGTGTGGAGGTCACGAATTATGCTTCTTTTAATTAAATGTGCGTGAACGTGTATGTGGACCGCAGATCAGATGAATGAGCATATGCAGGTGGATTTTGAAAACGCTGAAGTATGCTGCCATCTTCTGTCCAAACCTGCAAATTACAGTACTTTACGCTCTATAAGGCCAATGCAGGGCCATGTCCCACGAGAAAAGTCTCTTCTCAAGGTAATGGACAAGGACAAGTGGACTGGAGACATGAGGACTGACATGCAGCTATGCCCTATTTCAACAACCCCAACATATCTCCAAGAGCACCAAGGCCTTGATAAAGGAGCTGAGGGTAAAGGTGACTGTCTACCCATACTTCAATATTGAGCATCTGAGGAGCATCCTGAAAAGAAGAGTGGAGAAGCAAAAGTGATTTAACACTCACCATGAGGTCATTCTGGAGAAGTCTCATCGGGTTCCAGTGGCTTGCGAATCTCTGGCGAAATCCATGACCAAAAGGGATGCTGCAGTGTTGGGGGAGGGAAAAAAAATGGTCGCCAAACTAATTATTGACTCTGAGCACAATTTGGACCGTTTCACTTACGGGTTTACTCACTTTTGTTGCCGGTTATTTCACTGTCAACGGTTGTGTGGAGTTATTTTGAGGGCACAGTAGATTTACAGTACAGATATACAAACTGTACATGAACTACTTTACCATGTAGCAGTGTGATTTCTACAGCATTGTTGAATGAAAAGACGTAATATTGACCAAAACTGCGATCAGTGTACTCACTTTCAGCAACCTGAGATAAAGCCTAACCTTGTCCACTCTCGAGAGCTAAGAAAAGGCTGCAACTATTTCCATGTAATGTAATACATGTACAATTTTGGTCTCAAATTTATTTTTCCAATGAGCATCAGCAATAATCAAATAAGAATAAAAGCAAAATCAGAAGATCACCTTCAATCAACAAAATAGAAATGTTTTTATTAAAAGAAGCTATGTACAGTAAAAAAAAAAATAATCATGGCCTTTGGAATTTTCTATTTGGCCTTCGAAAAATGTAAAGCCCCTGTATTATTAGGACATAGCATCCAGGGAAACGCAGAGTGTGTGAACCCCCTTCAGGTTAACTATTTCAAAGAGAGACAAGAACAAACAAAGCCGAGCGCAATGGGAAGCCCCTCCAAATATGTCGCGCTGCGCAACAAACCGGCTGAGTAGGTACACAAAGCTGACAGCATCTTCAAAGCGATGAATTGTACATAACATGGGAGACCATATGCCATGGATGCATACCCTGGAATTTTGACAAACCTGCCTCCCCCACCGTGGCACTAAACAAGGCAACAAAAACGGGGAGGTCATAGCATTTTTGCTATTGCGTTTAGAGGCCGTTCCCATTTAGCGCAGCAAATTTCGGGCTGCCGCTGGACGAGTCTGATCCCTTCAAGACGCCACTTTGGTTGGCTGCAGCAACTTCAAACACCTCGTGGATGGCGTTTCGGAAACAGTGAAAATTGTACTCGATGAGACCTGCGGCGAGGGAGAGATTTTACAACTCAAATTTGCGGGAAAAACTTTTTGATCCATAAATGTGACATGAAAACGCACGTAGGAAAAGGTCATTAAATATGACGTAAACTCACTCGCAATATTAGGTCGACTTTCACAACAACAGTAAATTATGCTTTGACAAAAATAACGATGCTCACTTTTGTGCTGCAGTTGTATTTTTATGATATTTTCAATAATTGTACTCCCGTCATCAAATTAAATAAGTCAACCAAAATATTACAAAACCTCTTTTCAGTATGCGGAGAATGAAGACATTGCTGATTTGATCGATTACAAATGATCAATCACTGCTATCTGCGTCACACGGCACCTGCGCCGCTGTTAGCGTGCTACCAGCTGACAGTTAAAGGCCGCCATGTGAAACTAGAATACAAAACATTTGTATTGCGCTAAGTTACACACCTTTCCTCTCAAAACTCTCCTCTCTGAGGATACAAACGAGCGCGAGGAACTTTGTGACCTGTTTCAAATAAAGCACGGTGGTGTTGTTCAGCTTGATGATGGCCAAAGACTCCTTGTCGTAGGCACAGCCGCTGCCATCGTCCAGCAGCCTGCCGAGGGAGAAGAAATGTGGAATCCATCGAAGGAACAAGGGTCTCGGCGAATTCACATCTTACCCGTAAATGCACGAGACGTCAATGACAACATCGATCATGTCGCAGCAGAGCTCATAACACTGCATGTCCACAGGAGAGCTGTCTGTGGCGATGTAAATCTTGCTGACGACATCAAACAGGAAGGCCTTCTCGATCCCGGAATGCTACCAACACATGACGGGTTCAGGAGAGGATATATTTTTCAGCTTTTTCACACAAGGAAAAACAGGATGGGAGGGAGGAGGGGGAGGAAAAAAAAAGCCGCATACAGATATGAAAATGTTTAGGAGGTTCTCCAAAGTTGGCAATTGAGGGATGAGCTTCTGGACTACTTTGCTGAAGGCCTCGAAAATGGAGTGGTCGTAGATGCTGGTCAAGTAGAAGCTAAGGAAGGAACAGAAGGACATTTAAGACACCAAACAAGTCTGCCAATCATTTGATGTTAAGTAGACAATCCTCCGTTATCTATTCATTCATTCATGCATTCATTCATTTACCGATCCGCTTTATCCTGACAAGGGTCATGGGAGTGCTGGAGCCTATCCCAGCCGTCTTCGGGCAGTAGGCTGGGACACCCTGAACCGGTTGCCAGCCAATTGCAGGGCACACAGAAACGAACAACCATCCGTGCTCACACTCACCCCTAGGGACAATTTTGAGTGTTCAATCAGCCTGTCATGCATGTTTTTGTAATGTGGGAGGAAACCGGAGTACCCGAAGAAAACCCACGCAGGCCCGGGGAGAACATGCAAACTCCACACAGGGAGGTCGGAACTGGAATTGAACCCGGTACCTCTGCACCGGGCCACACTCCTGTATCCATTCTCTTCATTATTCTCGTCAGGAAAGAATACAAATGGGTTTGTTAACGCTTTAATATCTTTAATTTTGGAGAATATTCTGGATGCACTCATAATCTATAATGTATCATAAGGGGGGGTGGTGGGGGGGAAACAAAACAAAATGGTTCTCTATGTACCGTGTGTCAAGAGATCAAAATTCCTAATGCGGGTTTTACATGCCGTGCAAGATAGTAGAGTACCTTAGGAAAGTGCTCAGGTCCACTCTGATCCCAGAAAAAAAACAACACTTTTTTCTTTTTTCAAGCCAAGCTGATCCAGCAACTTTAAACAAAAACCGAGAACAGCCAAAAGCAGAGCTTCTAACTTTCATCCTTCCTGTTTTCCTATCACCCACTCTCACCCCCTGCTTTCCCCTCGCTGTGTCAGCGGCCTCACCAGCAAACAAGCGCCGATCAAAGCGCTTTTTAAATTTACTTTCCGAGGAGGAATGGATCAACGGAATCATGAGGTAAGCCGAAAAGCGATTCCTAGGAATGAAATTACTGGGAAGGAGTTTCATCTGAGCCGCTTCACCGTAAAGCAGCATCGTCTCATCATCCATCGCTTACCTGAGGTGAACTTTCTCGAGACTGGCGTCCGCGAGGTCATCGTTGGCCCGCTGATGAATGTCTCTTTGTGTTTCTATTTTGTGATCATCGGAAAGGCCGTCAACTTTATGGATGAACACCTCAAAGTTGATATCAGGTTTGACTTTGTAGGCTCTTGACACCGTCACTTGCAGCTTTTCAAGAGAAAGTTGGCAATTGAGGGATGAGCTTCTGGACTACTTTGCTGAAGGCCTCGAAAATGGAGTGGTCGTAGATGCTGGTCAAGTAGAAGCTAAGGAAGGAACAGAAGGACATTTAAGACACCAAACAAGTCTGCCAATCATTTGATGTTAAGTAGACAATCCTCCGTTATCTATTCATTCATTCATGCATTCATTCATTTACCGATCCGCTTTATCCTGACAAGGGTCATGGGAGTGCTGGAGCCTATCCCAGCCGTCTTCGGGCAGTAGGCTGGGACACCCTGAACCGGTTGCCAGCCAATTGCAGGGCACACAGAAACGAACAACCATCCGTGCTCACACTCACCCCTAGGGACAATTTTGAGTGTTCAATCAGCCTGTCATGCATGTTTTTGTAATGTGGGAGGAAACCGGAGTACCCGAAGAAAACCCACGCAGGCCCGGGGAGAACATGCAAACTCCACACAGGGAGGTCGGAACTGGAATTGAACCCGGTACCTCTGCACCGGGCCACACTCCTGTATCCATTCTCTTCATTATTCTCGTCAGGAAAGAATACAAATGGGTTTGTTAACGCTTTAATATCTTTAATTTTGGAGAATATTCTGGATGCACTCATAATCTATAATGTATCATAAGGGGGGGTGGTGGGGGGGAAACAAAACAAAATGGTTCTCTATGTACCGTGTGTCAAGAGATCAAAATTCCTAATGCGGGTTTTACATGCCGTGCAAGATAGTAGAGTACCTTAGGAAAGTGCTCAGGTCCACTCTGATCCCAGAAAAAAAACAACACTTTTTTCTTTTTTCAAGCCAAGCTGATCCAGCAACTTTAAACAAAAACCGAGAACAGCCAAAAGCAGAGCTTCTAACTTTCATCCTTCCTGTTTTCCTATCACCCACTCTCACCCCCTGCTTTCCCCTCGCTGTGTCAGCGGCCTCACCAGCAAACAAGCGCCGATCAAAGCGCTTTTTAAATTTACTTTCCGAGGAGGAATGGATCAACGGAATCATGAGGTAAGCCGAAAAGCGATTCCTAGGAATGAAATTACTGGGAAGGAGTTTCATCTGAGCCGCTTCACCGTAAAGCAGCATCGTCTCATCATCCATCGCTTACCTGAGGTGAACTTTCTCGAGACTGGCGTCCGCGAGGTCATCGTTGGCCCGCTGATGAATGTCTCTTTGTGTTTCTATTTTGTGATCGTCGGAAAGGCCGTCAACTTTATGGATGAACACCTCAAAGTTGATATCAGGTTTGACTTTGTAGGCTCTTGACACCGTCACTTGCAGCTTTTCAAGAGCCTCCATGTAATCATCCTAAGAACAGGGGACAAAGGAAAAGCTGTTTTATTTGAGCCTTGTAACTCAAGATTTAGTCATATCTCACCTGAGCGTCAATGACAAAGATCAATGCGCCTGTTCCATTGAAGATCATCTCACTGTCAAACGTAGGGTCACAGAAATCCACTTGGCCTGGAAAGTCCCAGATTTGGAAGTTGATAAAGGAGCTGCTGGAGATGTCATCCTTGCAAATTTTGTTGGTGCTCTCCAGAAACAAAGTCTCATTCGGTGACATTTTGTGGAAAACCACCTGAGAAAAAAGAAAAAAAAAAGAAATGTCGTTGGTCAATTCAGTCAAAGGTTACCTTCACTCAGTTGAAAAAGTGCTTTCCATTCACCATAGCACAGTACAAAAAAAATAAGTGTTCACATAGTATTTTTTTTTGCAACTGTAGACACAAAGTATATATATTTTTAATCAAATAAATTCTTGAATAAGTGGGGATATACCACAAATTAGCGTTTTTTGTTTAAAATATCTTGGAAAACCCACACGGGTTATGTAATTACCAACATCTGTATCCAATTCACTTTTTAATATTTCAAAAGGACGCTGTAAAATTGTACAGGAACTCGTGTGCTTTATTAAAACAATAACCGGTCGCTTTAACTTAAAATATATCGAGGATACATTTTGAATTGACCTTCTGAATGGACGACTTTCCGCTGCGCCTCCGTCCCATCAGCAGGATCCTCGGCTGGTCAGCTGACACGGGGCTCTCCTCCATGTCTGCTTCCTCCAGCCCGTATCCAAAACTTTTGGGGAACGAGCCTACGATATCGTAACTCCCGGTTAACTCTGGCTCTTCGAACTGTATCGACATCGTGGACTTTGTCGAATAAACCCAAACCACTTTAATGACACAAACTCACCGGAGTGTGAGCAGTATTTCAACTGGCTCAACGATCCGACGAGGAATGATGTCGATAATGTTCTGCGCGAGCTAGCATGGCAAGCTAAATTAGCCGACACACTACGTCCGGTGAAAATGTGTAAACATCACATTAAACCGATTTATATCTTCTTGGTGTGCAAGTTAAACTAGACCGACGGATTAAAGTGTCATTATGTCATAAAAAGTCAAATGAATACGGGCTAAAGTTCGGCTGTACAAATTCAGTCACAAGTCTGGCCACTTTTGCTACGGGACCCCTCCCCTTCGCTCTGATTGGCTGGTCAGCCTACCAGTCGTCACGTGATAAGAAGCTATCTGAAGATTTCAAGAACGGTGAGTATAGCTTGCAAACACAATTTGATATCTCCGGTGTTAAGATTTGTTTTATCTGCGCTAATAACAACAGTGTGTTTTATTCGCCGTGGTTATGCTTCTGTACGTGTGGGGGGAAGAAAAACATCAGAGGCGCGAGTTTGTGCAATCCGTCACTGTGCGACGAACAAATAAGGCCCTGCGAAAACCAAAACCACAAACTGTTAACGGCCACAACGTGCGCCTTGTGAACCACAGATAAAGTCAATGTGATATCACCACGTTTGATTAAAATATCATCATATTGTGTTTCCCAACCTTTATTGCGCCATGGCACATATTTTTTTTAAAAAATCGCATTGCACACCAAGAAGAATGTCATAAAATGTACTGTAAAACACTGAAACGATGGTGCTCATGAAATCCGACCGTGTTTAGTTGGAACACACAAAGCTATTACAGTTGCATGAATAGCAGCAAGTAGATATAACTACAATTAACCTATCATCTAGTGGAAGAGCATTTAATTATTCCACCTGTCACAATAGGTCACCACCATAGATAGGTGAATATTCATTATGTATATAATTTTGGGACCAATCGTGATGGGGAAAACACAGATATAATTCATGCATTCCAGGTTCCAAGATGACACTGGTTGTGCTGTGGTTCCTCCTGGTGGCTCCAATGATGCTGGTTGCAAGCAGGCCCGCTCAAGATTCCATCAATGGGACAGTACCTCTGGTTATGTGGCATGGGATGGGTGAGTACAGTACAGTACTCAAATTGTGTTGTCAACAAAAAAATATATATGCACAGTTGTATAAGATGCCCGAGGAATGGAGGAGAAGTGTGCTGGGACCCATTTTAAAGAACAAGGGAGATGTGCAGAGTTGGAGTAACCACAGACGAATAAAGTTGAGCCATACATTGAAACTATGGGAAAGAGTAGTTGAAGCTAGACTAAAAGCAGAAGTGAGCATTTGTGAGCAGCAGTATGGTTTCATGCCAAAAAAAAAAAGAATACTACAGATGCAGTATTTGCTTTATGGGTGTTGATATAGAAGTACAGTGAAGGTCAGAGGGAACTGCATCGTGTCTATTGTAGATCTGGAGAAAGCGTATGACAGAGTGCCCAGAGAAGAACTGTGGTATTGTATGAGGAAGTCTGGGGTGACAGAGAAGTACATTAGAGCAGTGCAGGACATGTGTGATGACAGTAAGACAGTGGTGAGGTGTGCTGTCGGTGTGATGGAGGAATTCAAGGTGGAGGTAGGACTTCACCAGGGGTCAGCTCTGAGCCCCTTCATATTCGCTATGGAATCTCCATGACGATGATGTTTGCAGATGACATTGTTATCTGTGGTGAGAGCAGGGAACAGCTGGAGGAGAAACGAGACGAAGGCAACAGATTCGCTGTGGCGACCCCTGAAGGGAAAAGCCGAAAGGAAAAAAAAAATTAGTCAGTAAAATCGAATAGGCTCCAATACAAAAGTTCGTACCGCATCACAGTAATCTCATACCTGTTACCTGCAGTTCTGTACTTGATTTTTATTTATTTTTTAAGTATGGTAACTCTTCCTGTGTCCAGGTGACAATTGCTGCAACCCGCTCAGCATGGGAGGAATGAAGAAAATGATCGAACAGGAGATTCCGGGAATTTATGTGCTTTCATTAATGATCGGCAGTAATATTGTGCAGGTACCGTTCTATGGCCTTCAGTTTCAGTTTTAAATTGCTTGCACGATCACGAGGATGTCTTTAATATTTCGCTCACAGGACACCACAAATGGATTCTTCATGAATGTCAATGAGCAGGTCTCATTGGTGTGCAGTCAGCTGGCCCGGGACCCTCATTTAAAGGGAGGATATAACGCGATGGGATTCTCACAGGGGGCGCAATTTCTGTATGTAACTACTCGGACATGCTCATGACACAAAAAGGGTTTGACGTAACAAATCGCTTCCCTTGCGCAGGAGAGCCGTGGCACAGCGATGCCCTTCTCCACCGATGAAGACGTACATCTCTGTCGGGGGCCAGCAACAAGGTATGAAAATCCACCACAGCCAAGAGTCGTTCAAGCCCAAACGCATCCACGGCGAGTAACGTACGATCCTCAGGTGTGTACGGGCTGCCGAGGTGCCCGGGAGAGTCATCTCACATCTGCGACATGATCCGAAAGGCCCTTAACACCGAAGCTTACACCGACGTGGTTCAGAAACAGTAAAATGTCTTAAGTTCTCCATTTTGACGTTCATTTGATCCACTCACAGCCACATTTGAAGCAGCTTTGACCATCTTGCCTTTTTCAGTCTGGTGCAGGCCCAGTACTGGCATGACCCTTTAAATGACGACCTGTACAAGAAGCACAGTCTCTTCCTGGCGGATATCAACCAGGAGAGGGTCAGTATGTTGTATTGTAAAGTGTCCTTGGGTATTTTGAAAGGCGCTTATAAATAAAATGTATTATTATTATTATTGTTGTTACGAAAATAGTGAATGGAGCAAAAGTTATGAATCACGTTATGACCCCCAAATTCTGTTTTCAAGGTTGTAAACGAGACTTACAAGAAAAATCTTCAGACGCTGGACAAGTTTGTCATGGTTAAGTTTCTGCATGACACGGTGGTGGATCCTGTTGATTCGGAGGTGAGGTACCGAACGTCCCTTCGGATGTGCAGCCTCGTTTCGTTTCGGGACTAACAACCCTCAACTCTTCTTTTCAAAGTGGTTTGGCTTCTTGAAAACGGGTCAGGCCAAAGAGACTGAAACGCTGCAGGAGAGTATACTGTACAAAGAGGTGTGTGTGCAAGGTTATCTTGTGACAGAGCTGTTTTTGCATACGTACGACATAGAATCACTTCCAGCAGTTTTAGTCGGAGTAACAAATTCAAATGTTTGTCCTGACGTAGGATCGCCTGGGCCTGGCTGCCATGGACAAGGCAGGAAAGCTGATTTTTCTTGCAACAGAAGGGGACCACCTGCAGTTTACTAGAGAATGGTTCAATGCAAACCTGCTGCCTTACTTGCGCTGAGAGGGAGGGAAGGAAAAAAAAAAAAGGGAATGCAGAAAGTATAGCATTCCCCACCATTGCACTGATCTGTAGCCTGTTGTTGGTGAACGGTAAAGCCAATTTGTACCAGTCTTCTGTGGTCTTATTTCCTTTGTGAAATATTTTTTTTATTCGGTTAAAATTTGCTTTTGGAATGTTAAGAACCTTTTACAAGATTAAGAGAGTTGCTGTTGACATGTGCTTCTAAATCCAAATAAAGACGAGAATGTTATTGCAACGTTTTAATGATCTCTCCGGTACTAATGAGCAGTAATCTGATTGTGAAACCAACTCCCTCCCCACACACACACAAAAAACAACAAAAAAAAAACCACCAAAAAAAGTAAAAGAGACAATACACACAAAAAACAACAAAAAAAAACCACCAAAAAAAGTAAAAGAGACAATATAAAAGACAATCCACAGCTTCCAAGTGCTGATGAACCAAATGGTACAGACATGGGTCTTGGAGCAAGTCGTCAAGTGGGGTGATGGTGGCGCCAATAAGACTTAACATCTACACAGATATTCAATGTTATTTTCAAGGCCGTGGTGACATGACTTTGTGGGGTGCCCGTTTTCCATTTCGAAATAACAGCAGGAGCCCGTCACTGATAGTCATGTTCAATTCCACATTGCTCCTCACTGTTTAATTTTTTTCTCTTCTTCTTTCAAGCCTCTTTCCATGGAATGTCTTAAACACTTTGGGAATGTGTATACAAGAACGCGCGAGTGTGAACCCGAGTTGTATTCAAATGATCCGTGAGATGAAAACTTTCCGTGAAGATGTCGGCACGTACGCAACCTGATTTGACTCCTAATTAATGTGTTGGAATATTTCATATACACAACAACCGCGAATATTTTTAACGTGCGATGTGGAGGCTGTGGAAACAATTTGTTCACAAGGACTTAATGGAATTGCATATTAAGGAACAGAAACCTTCCAGGTCATAACTTGGGGGAGGGGCTTATAGGGGGGGGCCCTCCTTAGCCAGTAAGAGATAATTAGTGCTTGAAGCATCCTGATAATTGTGGCTGCAGAGGCGACATCCACCTAACTATGACGGCTAATTTAGTACAGCATTATCCGGATAAATATACAGATACAATTGGCAAAGTGCTCCCTGCTGATTGGCTGGAGGAATGCTTCAGATAAACGTGAGCAGTCCTCATTGGCTGTGGGAAGGAACAGCAAAAGCTCTTGATTGGCCAAGGAGAAAGGGTGGGGGAGAAGAGAAAAAAAAAACGCATGACGTTTGATTCTCGACTCTACAGCGCGCGTGTTAGCTGGTGAGTGCGGGGTCATCAGTCAGGTGGGCTTGGCGAAATGGGGGTGGGTGGGGGGGAGGCGCGCGAGAGGTGCAGAGAAAAGGCGGCCGCGTGGCATGCCGCCCCATCTATCCCGCGATCTCTGTCGATGTGGTAACGAGCTTCGCGCCGTCCCAAACCGTCTTGAACTGCTCAGGGACCGGGAACTCCGACTGTGGACCACAACGATACGTCACTGTAAATCTTCCAACTGAAGCTGATCGACGAATTGATCCGCGCGTGCCACCAAAGTAGTGTTGGGTATCAAACTCTGGGTGGGATACTCACAAATTCTCCATCCTGGCCGGGTATCAGGATGTTCATCTCTGAGCTCTTGGCGCTGATGACCTCACAGTCCACCGACTTCTGGCTCAGGTACACGTGGCAACCGTCGGTCTTGTTGATGGAGATGGTGGGAACCCGACCGATAACCTGCGCGTGATGGCCCGCTCTCATTTATTTTAATGCCGCCGAAAATCGAATGCGATCAAACGTTGCACTGAGACACTGCGGGTTGTACACACCTGGACTTTGACATCTCTGCAGTTTATGATCTCAACGATGCCCACGACGTCATCAAACACCAGGCCCATTTTCTTACAGTTATCTGATGGGAAAATTACAGAGTGTTACCCTTGTTCATATTTACAACACTGATTTGACATTGTGGGTAGCGCCGAACAAATCACAAAATTAAAAATGACATCGCAATGTAGTATTATGCAATTTTCTAATTACAAAGGCTGCCATTTTTTTTTGGGGGGGGGGGGGATTCAGTCAGTTGGCTTTATTATTATTATATATTTTTTATACATATGTGCGGTATATTTTATTCATTATCATGAACCAACGCGCCTCAATAAGATCAGCGCTTAAGAAATTTTCAGAGGTGCATTCCACAAAATGAAAAAAAAAAAAAAAAAAAAAAAAAAAATCAAATTCACCAGTTCCAAACTAGAACAACGCAAGTCCCCGCAAAACACTCCACTGGAGTGTAACCCAAACTGGTTCTCACCGATAGTAATGGAGTTGAGTTTGCCTTTGACCTGCAGGGTGCTGTTGTTGCACTTGAAAGCGTAAACCACTTGCTTGAGCTCAGTGTCGCTGATCACCAGTCCCTGTGCACCTTCTTGGTTCTCCTGTGGAGTGAGCACGCGCACACACACACAAAATCAGGAACGGACAGCTCGCTCAAAACAAACGGGTTGTAGTCTCGTGTAGGTCTGGGGAGGCCAATTATGAGGTGGGCCAAGTAACGTACCACTTTCCACTTCTTGCCCTCCAACTCAAGAACGGGGGGTGCGCTGCGTGTCGGGGCGGCCGATGGAGCGGCTCGGAGGGAAGGACTAGTGAAGGGTTTCGGTCCGGTACGCACGGGGGCACTCTGACCCCTGAGTCCAGGATTCTTGTGGGTCTTCTCATCATCCTTAACATGCCTGAGGCCTGGAAAAGGGAAACCGAGGACACTGAAAATATTTCCTCGTGGAAACTGTTCCTTCGCTGCGATTGACTTCCAAATTGTTGTCGTTTCAACACACGAGGAAATAACGCAAATTTGTCCGTACCAGGCCTAAGCCATCGGCGTAGCACTTTTATGACAGGCAATGTCTTAAGTACTAAAGGATTTAGCTGTCAATGCAAAAGATTTGCTCGTGGCTGCGCAGAAATGAAGTCACGCGGCACACCCTTCAAAACACCTGACAGACATGGATGGAATGAAAGCGGGAACAGGAAACTGTCTGCTGGCAGGCTGCACAAGCACAGTATGTACTTGTCATTTGCTTGGTTTATTTTAGGTTTAGTTCCTTTATTATGCTCATTCTCATGAGCCCTCAAGAAGAAAGCCCAATATTACACTCGACTGTATATACGCGCAAACACACTACTCACAAAAAAGTTTGGAATATTCATCTTCATCTCAGGATTAAGATAAAACGTACTGCAGACCTTCACGGGCGAGTTTAAATTTTTCTCAACTTTTATATGCATACGTCACTTTATTCCAGTATTTTTACTCAACTTGCTCAAAAACAAAAAAAAAATTCCAACAAAATTGTTTGAACCATGAATCGACCAATCAGAATTGAGATTTAAATTGTCGGCTTCTTGATACTGTTCACATTTTGACATCGCTCAGACCAAGACGGCAATACCTTGGCATTTGGCAGGCGTCAAACAGAATGCTCTCAGAGGGAAGTTGCCACTGAGTGTGTCAACATTCAGCGGCTTGCAACGGACACAGTAACAGAAAGGCATAGAAGTGCCTATCATGTGGAATTAAAAAAAAAAAAAAAAAAAAAAATTTAAGTCGATTCATGGAATAAACCCGTTGTGAATTTTGCAGTTCTTGTTCGAGAACAGCAAGTTGAGTAAAAACTACTCAAACAGTAAACAGCCTGAACAGCAGCGATTATTTTTGCCAGCCACAGGACTTTGAATGGACAGTTTTAAGACCTAAGCCCTTACGGTCTACCGCCGTGCGGACCCGTCCCCGTTTTTGACGGCTTACCCCTGGTGATGTCGGCGCCCCTGTTGATGGCCTCAAACAAGGCATTCCGATTGAGGGCGTCGCTATCGCCATGCTCGGAGGAGCCGCCGATGTCCGCAGGAGGCGGGGGTGGTCCGGGAGGGGGAGGGGGCGGGGGAGCGCCGCCGCAAGGCTTGCTGGGAGGGGCCGCGGAGGCGGAAGCCACTGGGCCCTGGACAGGAAATCGGGTTTTGGAACCAGCCCACCAAAAGCACACTCGGCTATATCCACTGTCACTCAAAACAAAGCCTTCGTGGCAATAAGTGTTGTGTTTTAAGACAGATGGTGCTTACGGTCTTGCTCCAGGACAGACCAGTGGTGTGATATTGCTTGATGTAATTCTGCAACTCGGTCCAGATTGCCAAATAGGCGCGCACCCATTCCACGTGCGTCTTGTCTCTTTCAACAGAACAGGAAATGGGATAAGAAAGGCTGCTATTCAACATTTTCGGTTTTTACGTACGAAGCCCCAGACATGACTTTTTTTTTTGTTTTTTGGGGGGGGGTCTGTTTATTTCAATTTTGATAACTATGTTGTGTAATATTTTTTTAAAAGACGTCAAGTGCCCTCGGGCTCGCATTGCAAACGAGCATCACAGCTCACGGGTTTCCTGGTTTGGTCACATGGCGTTCGTGATGCAAGGCTGAGGGCAATTTGATTTCCATTTCAGTCAACAACAGGGGCGGTGCTCGATAAAACGTCAGCCTCTTTGGTTGGCTGATCATCTGCTCAATTCTTATTCCGCAAATGCAATATTGATTAGAATACCGTGTTTAGACTCGATATTTTTTTTGGAACAACCATCTTTACTCATTCACTCCCAAAGACGGTTTTAAACATCTTTTCAGACTTGGTCCAGAATTGGCTAGTCCTGAATGAGTTCAATATCGGCTCCCAGCCAACTTGACAACTAATAATTGATAACGGCCCTGAAATAAAATAGAGTAACATTAGGGTATCTTATTTCATCTACTTTTAAACCCTTGGTCAGTCAGTCACTGGAAAAAACAATACTGGAGAAATGACGATTTTCTTTTTACTTTTCCTTGTACTCCTTGAGCACACGGTTGGTGTAGAACGTGGCGGCATCCTGCATCTCCTTCACATAGGGGCCTGGCTTTGGGGCCTAGGACAGAGAGAACAAGAGAACATTTGTTGATAACCTCAGTTTGATTTAAAGTGCGACGCTGACCACAAGTCAAAGCGCGCAAAAAAAGTCTCACCACGGCAACCCATCCAAGGGCAGGCACGCTCTCGCTGATGGCGGACAGATGGTGGAAATGCGGGGACGTGCGCTTCTGCTCGCGGAACGCCTGCACCTGCTCGATGAACTGGCACGCCGGCCGCAGGAGGGTCCTCAAAACATCCTGAGCAAACCGAAAACTGGCATGAAAAACTACAGCCGGGCCAGGTGACGCTTCAATTCTTATGCGGGGAAAGTGACAACAGTTTTTTTTTCTTCTTTCTAACTCATCATGTGGCAAATGAAAACATTTCAAAACACGAGTGGCATACATCCGATGGCTTCTGGGCAGCGGAGGCTGTTACAATGAGTTGTCGCTGACTGGAGAATGCCTGCTTCATCATTTCTGCCTGCGAGAAAGACAAGAACGAGGCAGCAGTCATGACAAATACTTGGGATGTTCTCCCTCCAAACATTTGTCAAATATACTACCCGTAATATTGTCGTGGTTGACTGAAGGTATGCGGCTGGTCGGATATTTGCGCCATTTGGATTTCAAGAGCTACTGCGAGGCGTGACGGATTACGTACATGTTTCAGGACATCACCCCCGATCTGCTGACTGTAGCAGTAATATTGATTCACAGGACCACTGATGATCTCGTCTAAGGCCTCAACGTAGGCTGGTACAGCTGCAACAAAAATAGGGGGCGAGGGAGGGAGATCGCATCACAATTTAGTCTCTTGGTGACATCACTAGTCATTAGCTCACAATTCTAATTATATTGCCGTCACCAAGCACAAGGCAAGGTTGCAACGTGGCCACTGAGCTGGATTTCGCGATGACAACTAAAAAAAACCTTCTTCAGACGACAACATCTTATACAAAACACAGGTTGCGCAGCACATCTCTCTCTCTCTCAAAAAAAAAAAAAAATAAATAATAATAATAATAGTGAATTACCTCCACAAGCAGAACCTTCGTTGCTGCCACCGGGGCCCGACATCGCCTCCAGACGGCCCACGGCCAACTCCAGCCGCTGCACCAGATTCGCCAGCTCTGCCATACCTAATGGATTAGAAGCGATTAGGAATGTCACCCAATCAGGATGAGGTGACACCAATGTGGAGTGAGGCCGGTACGAAACAGAGACTGGAGCTTTTCCAAAACACCTTTGACAAAATAAATGAATAAAATGTTAAAAATAATGACCACATTTTCAAACAGACAATTTAGAACGATGCGCGTATGGACATGTTCTTGACAAAAAAACGATCTGCAAAATGACGTTATGTATTTTCCTGTAAATGGGTGATCCCGGAAAGACGATAAAAAAAAAAAAACGAAGAATGCAAGTGAGGGGAAGCAGGTCAAGACTTGAGAAAAGGTATGTAGATACCAGACGAGGTGTGTTCGGATAGTCCTTTGTGGACAAAAGGTTAGCACTGCTGTACTTATTCTTAAGTGGGCGTTAATGATCAAAGCATGATCAACCAGTTCGTGGACGTACTGACAGCCGGTGACAAATATTGTCAACATTACACAAGAGTGTTGTAACCTGACAACAGTTTCAGGCGCAGCCACCTGAGCAGATAGCACGGTAACATCATCAACAATTAAAAGCTACAGCGGCAGCCAGCTCGCTTTTAAAACAAAAGACTTGGCTTCATCTTTTGGGACATCTGGGGCGGACAAATTAGAACCGAGTAAATAGGTCGGGCTGAGGGCTCACCTTTGCCTGATCTGCAGCGCCACTCATTGAGAGGCAGCAGTAAATTCATTTCTGAGCCAAGCTTGGAGATATAATTAGATTAAGGAAGGACACTCACCACTAATACCCATGACCTAATTGCTGTGCAGCGCCAATAAAAGCATTTGCACCTCAGGGGCGTTTAACTTTCACAATTCCAGGTGTAATTCTTTGTTTTACGTTTACTTTGACAGTCAACTTCAACTGGCCTTGTGATGTGGGGTGAGTTCACTGCCACCATACGGCGTTGCATCGCAAAACTTGAGACATCTCAAAATGTTCTGACAGGTTATGGACCAAACCAGTATTGAATCATAATCTATGTTTAAGCATTTAATATGCCGTCAATTGTAAATAATAGCATGTTTCTGAATAGACGAATGGAAACTTTTTTTTCCTTAATCACAGTCATTGAAAACAATCAAATCCACAGATTAATTGAGGACTAAAATAATGTTGCAATCCTAAATTCAACACACTACCATTACACTGTAAATGTAATCTTTAAAAAGATTTGCTCTGAGTCACTACACAAACAACTGCTCAGGCCAATGTCTAGCCAATCACGTTGCCGTTTGTGTTCTACTTTTGCGATGTTTTGAGTCTCCTGTGGTCTTTTATTACATGGGAATGAGTCATGTCACAAATCCTCTATATAATGAACATTTATACTTAGATACAGTCTAGTTGTAATACATGACTACAGTCTGTGCATTAAGAGACCTACGTACATCTGCCGGAGAACTTTGTTGTCAAAGAGCACCACCATGCAGCAGGAAGAAAGCCTGTGAGAGGTTCATGGGCAGTGAGACGTTCAGGTTACCATCGGAAAATCGGATATTCCGCGTTCCCGAAAATCTCAGCTCACCTTTGAAAGCGGTTATGCTCCGCACAAACATGGACACTTTATCATAATATGATTTCAACATCCTTGCCGTTTTTCGTCGAGGTTACACGTTTAGAAATACTACCTGGTGCCACCTATATGTTGCGGTAATGTTTTGAAAAACCGCTAATTCGACATAGCCAACAGAAGAGTTGCTGGTTACGGTGCCTTAAAGAGAGTTGCTCGGCTGCCCAGTTCGTTCACGAGAGGCACACCAATGAGTTCTTTGTCTGCTTGATGAACAACAAACTCATACAGAGCTCTTTCAAGTGCGTGACGTTACAAAACGACATTTCTTTAGGGTGTTTTTGCGGGGGACAAAAACGTGTGTTTGTTGAAAGCATGATACAAACAAACGTCGAACGACCTCACTTCCGAACGTGTAGCACGCAAAAACCTCCCATAGACTTGAGTCAATACACTTTAATGCGTCAAATATACTTGTTTTTGCGATTCAAGCAGAGATGACGGCGGAGCACGGCTCGGAAAACTGTCTGGCTGGTGGTGGTTTTGCAGAATCTGCATTTTCGGCAAGTTCAGGGACACTTCAGCAGAATAACCTCTTTGTAAAGTAAAACGACTACATGATGTTTTTACTTAATTGTAAATCACACAAAATGTAAGTAACTTGGACTCGAGATGGTAAGATCCATTTTCGACATGGCGTGAGGAGAACGAAATGCAGTATTGGGAACACGGCAAACTAGCAACAGTCACAGTCGTTTTACTTAATATTAACTGCGGTGCAGACACACTTGTGAGTAGAGTACCGTAAAGTGCTTACATCATGCGTCTGAGTATTTACTCCTTCCCTCTTTGCAGCTTTCGGTATTTCCTGGTTCTCGTTATCACGCCCTCCCTTGTTAGCACAATTATGCCAATCTGTTTTTTGGTTATAATCCACACTTAAAAAATAAACAAACCTCACATTCAGCCGGTTTATTCGACTACAATAAGCGAACAAGTGTGATAACTCCAATATACGTGCTAAAACAGCGCCACGGTTGTGTTAGCCGCGACGGCTAACCGGGTGTGTTAGCATCCCACTGATTGCAATGGTGATTTCTGAATGATGATGCGACGCTCCGTTGTGTTTTACGGTAGACGCAAAAAAAAAAAAAGCTTCAACAGACAACCGTAAAACCATTGCAAGTGCAACAAATGTTGATCTTACCGACGAGAACGGGTCAAGTGATCACTCGGTCGTTGAATCGGACGTCGGGCTGTATAGCCTGAACGAAGCAGATCGAGCTGAGTCTTTTTTCCTTCCTGGATGAACTTACCCAGCTGTCACCGCGCTTCGTTTCCGCCCTTGTCCGAGCGAGCCGTTCCTTTGCCATATAAGGCGTGTGAGCCACACACGGAAAGAAAAAATATGGAGGAAAGCGAAAAGGAAAAAAAAAAAGCTCTACTTTTTTTCATATTTTATGGCAATGCCGCGTTCTGTGAGAAATCACGCATTGTTCACAATGCAAATGCAGTCATCGACATGTATGACAGCATCATTCTTGCAACGAGATTGCAATTTACCCCCATACATTTTTTTGCAAATTTTATATTTCACCTTTACACATGCAGCTACCATGTTTCTGATGCAGGGATGTATTGAGCCATCTCTACATGACCGAATGAGTGCATTATATTTGTAAATTGTTTTCTCAATGTGCAGTCAAATTCCATATGCACGTTTGGAAGTTTAAGTGCAAGTCGAGGAGGTGTCATATGTAAGGGCGGAGCTACATGGTTGCCAGGGGTGGCCCTGGCCACCCCACATCGAGGGATAATTTCTAATACCTGTAACCTTTCGCAAAGAATGTTTGATTCTTAGTCAATGTTAGTAAAAAAAAATCATTACTTTCACACCATATCAGGTATACAACCTGGCTGAAAAGTCATTGTTTATCATACCATCCAGTCGTGGTTTGATAAAATAAAATGCGATTTTAAGATATGGCTTGAATAAATGGGCCATCAATCGCAGACAATGCTACATGGCCATGTCAGGTGAGAAAGGAGGTTGGGCTAGCAGACAATGTTCTCCTTGGACTGTCAGATGCTCAAGAGATTCTGGGTCGGCTTGAAACAAACGTCGCGGGATCTATTTGTAGATGTGCCGGTTAATCATCTGGTCCACAATCAAAGGGAATACTTTGTAGTTTTAAGGTTTGAAATATACGGCTCAAAAAAAATAAATAAAGGGAACACTTAAAGAGCACAATGTAACTCCAAATGTTGCCTTTATTTTTATTTTTTTGGAGCAGTTTGTATTCTGGCACCTTGCATTTAAAGATGACATTCAACGTTGTAAGTCTGTAAATGCTGAATAAAATCATGAAGGTCTTTAATGTCATAATATGAAATTCAGTGTCACCATCTTTGTCTCATAGCATCAATGAACAAACAACACAAATCATGGCCCAAAGTGTTTCCAGTCGGGAACGTGTAAAACATGAAGCAACTCTCCTTCATAAGGGCAAGAATAAAATTTAAAGTCTTTATTCTAATTCCCAGATTATCCAGTTGTATCAGGTCACATCGAACACAAATGTAATCCTTCCCTTTAAACCTTATTTAAAACATTTTAAATTACTCCTCAGTCCGTCATGACTCCCCAATTCTTTGTTTCTGCCTTCACAGTGGACTCCAGCAGAGTCAAGGTCAATTCATGGCAGTTTTTTGTGTCTTCGACATTTTTTTTTTTTTCGTGAATCAGCTTTACAAGTTTTTCCAAGTGTGGACAGTTGCAAAGAAGATGGGAGAACGTGACTATTTTTGTTTTTTTTGCACTGTTTCAAAAAGATGGCGTAGAGTTGGCACTTGGGTGCGCTTCATTTTCCTTTGTCTACAGCTCCAATGAAAACTAAAATTACACTCCTGCCCTGCTGTGCACGGCAGAGTAAAAAGTAGTGCAGCAGAGTTGACCTCACAATGAGATGATTTGACAGTACAGTACACATTTATCCGCAAAACATTCTAAAGTGATTGCTTCACATTAACTACGGACTGAGATGAAACAGTGACACAACCCTTCTCGACATTCAACGCTTTACGAGTGACTTCCAGGCTCTTTTGAGTTTCACATTCATGCATGCGGAACGATCGCAAAGTGGAATTGGAACATGACCCATATGCAAAAAAATGATTTGGTCTTTTTTTTTTTATACTTCTTACTGTGTGTGGCCGCTGGGGTTAAAAAAAAAATTGTAAATGTAAATAAATTATTTGGTTTTAGCTTGTTCTTCACACAAAGCAACTGAAAAGCTCATAATTGTGTTCCAAATAAGAACAAATCCAACATTGCAATCAAGGATTAAGATGCTGGCTGTGATTGGGCTGATTCTGAAGAAAGTGACATTTCCTGAATCAAGCGGATACAAGTGAGGACTTGGAAAGAAAAAGTGCATCGGTGTTGAATCACAGCAGGAGGATTTTGTTGAAAAAGTGGTCTTCGTTCATGTTGTACGCTCCAGCGTGTATTCCAGTGACTTCATTTCGTGCGGAGCGGAACCTTCGGTATAAAAGCAGCATTTTGGCTCGATGCATTTGTCTGACAATTGAGCAATCGAGCATCAGGATGCAGGTGAGCCAACAGATACCTACACATACATATACAACACTTGGAAGAAATATGTTTTGGCACATCAGCCAGTGGGGGGGGATCTTGTTGTCATGCACTTTTTTGTTTTTTAATCTGGTGCCATTTGTGATTAACGCTGTTTTAGTTTCAGTAAGTCAGCTGTGCCGACTTCTGGATTTGTGGGCAGTGTTTGGTAGCAATCAGGCTAACCTGTAACAGTGTGATCGACAGTTCACGTGCATGTCGACAAAAAGCAGGCTTGGGAAGTGTGACGTGGACTTGCTGGTTTTAAGTTTGTGAGTCACCTTGGTAATATCTCGGTTTCAAAAATCCGGTCCTTTTCTGTATGTCTCTCTCCATAACACAGTACACGGTCGGCTTTTCTCCTATGCCATGGCTCAGTTTTTTTCCAGTGTAACAGCGTGACATGCTCTCAAGTCCTTAAGGTGTCCAGGTGGGGGGAAAAATGGAAGAAGCATCAAAAGGATGGACGGATCTGTGTGTGTTTGAGGACAGAATCGAGCTTCACCCCGTGATGCTATAGGAGCTCTTCTCTGTGCTTCTTTCCTCTCATGGGACCCTGGCCGTTCCTCAAGGAGCCGTTTTGCGGTCGGAGAAGGTGACCGCGCTCCTGCTCCGTCCACGGAAACCCGACCTGTCCGTCGTCGCTCTCCAGGTCTGAGTCGGAGTGCATGAGGGCGGAGGAGGTGGGGGCGGGTACTGGCTTGACGCGGCCTGGGGAGGTGGCACCAGAGCACCGTTAGTAACTGTGTGCACGTGAGCGACACATCCGGTACTTGGGTAATTGTAATTAAATCAATTTAAATGTGGCATTTTTACCAGCTCTGGGTGGTTGGAGCTCCAGAGCGTCTTGCTCGTCAGCTTCCAGCATTTTATAACGGCTTTTGGTTCTGCGCGCTTTGCTCTTGCGCCTTTGTAGGAAGACCGGGAAAAGAAACCGTATCATAAGTCGAGTGGTGGAATCAATAAACTGCAGTAATACACGGGTCACTTTTTTTTTTTTAACAAATGATAAAGAATATATGCCTGTGACTACGAAAACTGATCTCACCTGCCACAGCAACACACACACCCCCAGACAACTGTCGCCACAGCAACCACAATCATAAAGGACGCGATGGTCACATAGAGTACGCTCCATTCTGAAAGCAAGCACATTTTATCATTTAGGTTCAAAATGGCTTTCTTATTTTGAAAATTCAAGTGGAATGTTTGGTCCATGTCAACAGGTTCATCTGGGTGCTTTCCTGCTGAGGGCGGATTCGTCTCATCTTACCGCAGTTGCTCTCTGCATCGCCGAACTGGGCTCTGATGAAGTTCTCCATCCAGAAGGGTTGGCACACGCAGCGCCGTGTGAATGAGTCACATTCGCCGTGACTGGAGCAGTTCAGCTGGCAGACTGAGGGAGGACGGCGTGATATAAATGGACATTTTAGAGGACAACCGTGAAGTAAGTTATGACATGATTTAGGACAAGAGAACTTTACGTATCGTGTGGGAACAACTTTGGATTTTGACCAGTGAACCCAATTTGGTCCTTATTCCACAATTACCTTCAACGGTATAAGAAGTACAGTACAGAACTCACTGACAGTGTCCACCCGCCGGGCCTTGTAAATGAGAAAGTCGTTCTTCTGTTTACGCAGTTTGTTGCGTAGGCTGAGTGCAACGCTGTGACCAGACAGCGGAGGGCGCCCTGGACCGCCTGACACCAGGAAGACCAACCGGGTGCTAAGGCCAGAACAAGAGGGGACAGGCAGCAGGAGTACCATATAACATTTAAAAAAAAATAAATTCCTTCAGCATTGGACTTATCTAGACATGATATTTAAAAAAAAAACATAAATCAACAAAATGTACGCATATAGAAAAAAATAAACCCCAATGACTGACCAAAACAAGCCAAGTTTGTGCAATGAAATGCCATTCATCCATCCCGGTCGCCCAAAAGAAATTTTACGTCATAACTCGACTCACCTGTGCTCATTGAACGCGGCGATCTCTCGAACGATGATGTCACTATCGAGGACGCCGAGCAACACTCCGACCTGCCGCAGGAGCATGTCACGTTGACGGTGGGAAACCTGCATGATGGGAACCTCTAAGACCAGCTCCACCTGGTCGCGCTCCCACGGGTCTGCGAGAGAGAGAGAGAGACACAGGCACACAATTTCATTCAGCGGTTCTCAACTAGTGTGAGCGGCCTGTCTGTGTTTTCGACGTGTTCATTACCGCGTACCTGGTTTGACCTCCAATGTGCCGCTGTCCGTGTTGGTTTGACCTTTGCTGTCAGTGACCGTCAGAGTGAAGCTATACTTGCCCTCCACCAGGTTTCCCAGAAACAAGACCGCTTGGTGATCAGAGTTGTTTAGCACATCCTGTGAAACAAGTGGCAAGTATGTTGAGCTCTTTTATTTTTTTTTTGGGGGTGGCTGTGCAGCGAGTCAACAACACAGTGATGAACTTCTATTTCCTGTCTGGCAAGATGCCTTTCGACTGTCTGTCAACTCTTGATGAATTGAAGCCGTGATCTCAAAAGTGAAACTTTGTGGATGACTGACAGCACTTCACTTTAAAACAAAAAAAAGTAAGTGCTCTAGTTTGCTTTTTAAAACAAATGTAAGTACCTTTTCTTGGAACTGTTTGAACCTTTTTAGCGGAAGAATTGTCAACAAAGTCAGAGATTGTCTCACCCCGGCCGCAGGGCTGCTGTCATCTCTGGTCCACAGGTAGCTGATGCCACCTTTGTCGTCGGTGGAGTGAGATCCATCCAGGGTGGCGGTCCGCACAGGGAGAGAGACGGGTGGGCTGGAAATCACGCGAGCCACTGGGGGTTGGTCCAGTTCTGGTTGAAAAGACGTTCCGGTGGAGGTGATGAAACATTCAATCAAGTATTTTTTTTTTCCACTTCCACGGATTGAAGGGCAGTAAAATAAACCTTCTGTCACTTTAAAAAAATGTACCAATTAAAAATTCAGCAGATAAAAAGCTTAATCTTAAATTTGTGTATAAAATTTGCGACCCCACCGACAAATCCTAACGCGCACCTTCTCTGACGATGACCGTCACGGTGTCGCTACTCTGCAGCTTCCTCTCATCCGTCACTGTCAAGGTGAACTCGTAAGCGCCAACCTCGAGACCGGTCACTGTGGCAACGGCGCCGTCTGCGTTCTCAATTTTCACGCCATCGGGACCCCTGGGGGGGGGAGGGAACAGATGGCCAAGAGGAGAAAAAAACGTGACAGAGAAAGAGAAAGTGAGAAGCGAGAAACAGAAAGTGATGCAAATTTCTCATTCCGTTTGTACACAACTCCACGCACTCTTAACTCCTCACAACTACGTGATTGTGCATCAATAAATTCTACTTACTTGGTCTGTTCCCAATGGTAGGTGGCTATTTTTTGGTCGTCGCTGCTCTTACTGCCATCCAGCATCGTTCGATCAACCGGTAACGTCAGTTCTTTTTCCGGTCCTGCATCTGCCACTGGCGGTTTATTGTTTTCTGCGGGGATGAGGGCAGAGGCAAGACGCTTATCGGAAGGAACCATCTCACACTCGAATCAAGCGTGGACTGGCCTAATGTGACTTGAAGGCGTTTACCTGGCTGCACAATAACCGTGACATAGGCTGTGTCTTGCTGTCCAGCGGAGTCGGTCACAGTGAGCTGGAAGGTGTAATCTCCCTCTTGCATGGCTGACAGCTGCAAGGTGTGTGTGCGCACGCCCTGAAAAATGCAAACGCGGGACCCCGTTTTTAACCATGACAAACTGTGCAGGGGAAAAAAATGTCTCATTCAGTGTAAAAAAAAAAAATGAATATCTCGCAAAGACTCACTTGCATCTCCACCACCTTGTCTTTGCTCTCAGGACTAAGCGACCATTCATAAGCAAGGGAGTCGTGGTCGTCTGTGCTCTGATTGCCATACAGAGTGATGGAGTTACGTGGCAAAGTGATGACCTGCATCACAGAAAATCAAATAAGAAAAAAATTAATAAAAAATTGAGCTCACGCTATTTCAAGGAAGTCAGGTAGGGAAAAAAAAAAAAAAAAACGCAGGCAAAAACGATGACCTGCAAATAAACTAATGCAAATAAATGGATCGTTTATTGCAGCAGAGCACTGTGTAAAAATATTGACCTGGTTGGGGCCGGCGTTGGCCTCGGGCTTGTAATCCTTGGCTTTGTTGACAGACAGGGTGGCCTGTGTTGAGTCTTGGGCGCCATCGGAGTCGGTGACAGTCAAACTGGCAAAGGACAAGAAATAAGAAACATACTTTTTTTTTCCCAAAATGAGGCCTTCCATGACGGTGGCTCGGTCCGTAACTGCCACTAAATCGCCTGGGTTCACTATATTGACATTTTTTTTTGGGGGGGGGGGGATGCACAAGTTTCTGGATGACAGGCAGCATGAATGTGTACTTGAACGTGTAGTTCCCCGGAACCAAGTTGGTGAGCGTGAGGACGGCCGTGTTGGCAGACACCTTCTCCTCCCTGAGAGGACCTTTGACCTCTTCCCAGTGCCATGCAACTACTTTGTCATCATCTGTGCTCTCTGGGGGGGGGGAAAGGAAAAAACAAAAAAAAAAAAACAACAACATCAGAAGGCAGTCTCAGCATGTAGCCTCAAGTGGCAACAACATTTGGAAACGTGCGTTGATCCGAAAACTCACGCCTGCCATCGATCACCGTAGAGCTCGTTGGCAAGGAGATCTCTTCGAACTTCGGGGAAACTACGGCAACGGGGGGCTTGTTGACCCGCGGCTCTGACAGGTGGACAACAACAACGTAACATGCTTGGTGAGCTGTAAACCGCTTATAAGTGACTGAAGCACAAAACCAATATTTGTGGAAGAGTCAAACAGAACACGAGATGCAATAGGAGCCCAGGCATGCTTTGGAGTATACAAACGGCATTTGTTATACAGTGCAACTAGCCACTTTGTAAACAAACACGTAAAAAAAATAAAAAATAAATTAAAAAAAAAACGTAAATAGCATGATGTCTGTTTTAGGTTTTCGCTTACCTGGTTTGACAGTGACATTGACGTAACCTTCTCCATGGGCCCCTCCCCCGTCTACAGTCACCTCAAACTCATACAGACCAACTGTGAGCTGGGAAAATAAATACTGGTCAAGCATTCGGAAAGACAAAGCGATCTCAAAACCGACTACGGGTCCATGCAAAAAAAAAAAAAAAAAAGACTGATGGACAGTTTGCTCTCTCCACTTTTCACAGTACGCTGTGACAGTCCCAATTTGCAGCCACCGTATAGACGGGAAACAGTGATTTGTTTTCCAGTCCGAGTAGTCTGAGTATGTATATACAATTTTGAAAAAAATTGGGAGTGTCAGATTAGTATTTTGCCTTTTGAACATCTGCTTTCAATCAATTCGGTTGAATCGTTTTCTTGAGTGCATTAAAAAGGCACTGACGGAACGCTTCCATTTTCTATTCAACAGAATCGCTCCACTTTGATTACGAAGGCTGTATACCTTGCTGAGTTTCAGGGTCTTGCTGTGCTTCCCTTCCATTTCCCCGCTGTAATCTTTGGGATGAGTTATCAGACGCCAGTCAAATGCATACTTTGTATCTGTTGGGAAGCAGAGCCAGAAGAAGTCAAGAAATACCCTCCCGAGAAGGATCATTTGAAATAACGGATTTCCCATTTCGCTTCATTCAAGCGTGTCGAGAAGGGAAAATGGGGATAAGCAAAATCAAGTACAATCATTAATCGAGTTCTCCGTCTCACCTGGCGGAGGTGGGGGCACCACAAAGGCGTTCAGCTCGACCGAGCTGCGCGGTAGCGTGACTTCAACGCTCTCCCCCGCTGACACCACCAGCTCCCTCACTAGCATGGGAAACAGATCAGGTGACGGCAACAGCGCAGCATGACGACGACAACAACGTTGGCACTCTTCAGGGTTAATGTCCTCGTGCGGGAGATTTTATTGGAACATATTAAATATTTACAAAATGTTAGCTTGAAGTTGTTCATTTTATTTATTTTATTTATTTTTTTTTTTTACAAGCCGCACAATGTCAAGCCACATGAAATGTTAATAGCGCTGGAGTAAGACGACACTAACTTGGGTATTTTGGATTCGTTATTTGATCTCAGGGGGACGAGACCTTTCCAAAATGCCTTATTTGGCAAAAGGCGCATTTCATCATAAAGACAATGCTAAAACCTGTCTGTCTAAAAGTGTCACAGTGAACTTGCGAGTGCATTAAAAGGAAGCAGTGGCTAAAGAATTAAACCAGTTGTACGTTGAAGGCAAAACCCAATCAACCCTAGAAAAGGCGGCATTTAAATTTCAGGCCTTCAGACCAAAAGCTTAATGAACTCATTCACTCCCAAAGACGTTTTTAAACGTCTTTTCAGACTTGGTCCAGAATTGGCTGGTACTGAATGAGTTAATAAGAGTTGGAAAAAAAAAAATCTCTCTTTGCCTCAAGGAGAACTTCCACAGGCTAATGAGCACCAATCAAACTGATTACGTTTGTGAGATTTACACAGGAAAAAAAAACAAATAAAAAAATCTATTCCCCAAAGGCAAAGAAACACTGAACAAACAAAACCTTCTCCAAGGCTGACTGCATCTGGGTCACGGGTTGAGCACGGATACGTGGTTGTAAGCCACTACCGGGACTTGCTGGCAGTTACAGGCGGCTGAGAGTGTGTCAATCACTTAAGCTTATTTCCAACCAGAGATGACCTTTATACAATATATCCTTGGACACTGTGTAGACAACAGTCGCTATTCCCGTGCTGCGCTATCTGCTTTAATCCATGTGGCTCGGGACAGCTCAATACTGTCATGTGCCACGACTCGCACCGCAGTTGCTGCTGAAACTTTTCTGTTGTCATTTTTTTTCGGTCGACAGGTGAAACCGCCTTGGCAAGCTCTTCTTGTTTGTTTCATGGCCGCCTCTCTCAGCGCGCTCCTGCGCACATTCACGTAACCTCGCTGCCACCAAAGAGTTACTTTGGAAAGTCCATATGTGAAGGGTCACAAGAAAATTCTAAATTACGGTAGCCCCACCGCAAAAAAAAAAAAAAAAAAAAAAAAAACATGACCAAGAAGCTCAAATATGTGAGGATGTCATGCATTTCTTACCAGCCTGTGTTGGAGCCACGCTGATGGTGGTTGTCGTGGGTGTGCCGACATCGCTACCGTTGGAAAACGCAGCAGCCTCGACGACGGTGGAGTTCTGATGTGAGGCACGGTCACTCGTCGTGTTGGTTATGTGAGTGATGTTCTTTTGCTCGGCTTCTGGAACGACGCTTGGGTTGGGCACCGGCAGCATTGAGTGCGCTGAATCAAGTTTGGAGTTTTCCTGAAGAAAGGGTCAGAAAGAGTGAATGCGTGACAGCCTAACAAGTTGCGAGTTTTAAGAAAGTGAGAAATTGTGTCCATGTAATGATTGGACTGAGGACTTCAGATCTTCAGTATAAGAGATTTGAATAAAAAAACTAAAATGTGAGAAGAATCTAACAGGAAGGACATACAGTACATGAACCTATTACTACCGTGCTGGGCTTCTGTTCTGTTTCCACTTCATGTCCTGCCTGACGAACGTTCCTCCATCTTTTGGCAGCAGGACCCTTCAGAAAAGACCACAAATATAGCATAAAAAATATATATATACATCAAAGCATTTCTGAAAAGCCGGTCATACCTTGCCCAGTATCTGAAGGAGGCCGAGAGACTCCTGATCAGGTTGGGGCAGAAACAAGATGGGACAGCCCCCCTTCAGGGCGCAACTAAGAAGCACACACCGCCCACCGAGGCTCCACACAGCGTTGCAACTGGGCCTCAAGCAGCAAGTCTCCCAGCACGTCGGCCCGCCCCTCCCGTCTGCGAGAGGGTACCAACCCAAGCTCATGACGCTTGTCCAGTGGAGCCCCAGCACTCCTCCGGTAACACGGCAGACATCTGCCGACACACCTGAAGAGAGTCCGAGGAAGTCTATTAGCTTCTTAATGGCCATTTGGGAGTTGGGGGGCAGGGGCGGGGGGGGGGCGTGTTGGACTGGGGGGATAACAGGAGCTCGTGCTGCATACAAATATTGAATCTGCGGCTAGTTGTCAAAGAGATGCTAATTATTTTTTTGTGGTGCATTTTTAACAAGAAAAATAAGGGGCTACAAGTTCTGTACTTTATAAAAACATAAAATTAGTAAGAAATCAGAGTGTAAAGAATAAATATCAGGGATCAGAATGCGATTATAAAAGCGCCACTCAAGCTTCCTGAGTCTCGAATCGTTCAGAATCACTGTAAAAAAACATGACAACAAGTCAGGTTTTCCGAATGGAAAAACCCGAGAAAGAGCGCCGCGGAGTGTCGCAACTGTCACTTGATAGGCAGGCCTTCTTGGGATTTCATCTTGAGTCGATTAGAGCCGAACGGAACTGTCGTCCAACACCTCGGGAGACGACTTATTTATGTTTTGGCGCTTTGACTGAGCCTTTCTGAGAAAACAGCCGCATCTTGAGTAATCTGCCCCGTCAGCAGCCGAAAGAGAGGAAATTAGACTTTTCCCTGACAAAACAAGATGCTCGCTGATTAGAGCCCGGAGCGCATTATGCAATAAACGCCAAGACTCCGCCCTCTGAGCCGACGGGTACCAGCAGTCATCTGTCAGTGCAGTGAGTTACTGCAGTCCGTTCCTCGTTGGTGGCATGACGGCACGCTACAAATCACTTAACGGAGCTGATACACATTGCTGTGAATTGGAATTTTTATTTTCAACTTTTTTCTGGAAAGAGAACAGAAGACTCATCAAGCCACTGATTGTTTGGCTAAAAAATAAAAAAGGACTCTTTGGCCTCTATTCAGTCGCTCTACCTCTTGTCCACTCTTCTTCTGTCACCCACCCTCAACACACAGAGCACTTATTGTTCCGTTTCACATTGTATACCCGGGAGCCCCCACGCCCTCCCCCGTCACACTATTTAGTCCGCGAGTCTGATGGCTCTGATTGGATCAGATGAGCGACGACAACAAACGAGCAAAAAAAAAACAACCCCAAAAAATAAAAAAAGCAGCAAACAGATTCCAAAAAGGATGAGGACACACGTTGAGTAACCGCCGCGACTGCGTCGCGGTTCCCCATTCGCAGCGTTTAACAGCTGCACATGTCAAGTTTGTTATCAGTCCTCAGTCAATAAATGTTCTTGGAAGATTTATCATTGAGTTTGTTTTACCTGTGGGAGGGGCCAAAAGCCAGAGGTGGGTCAGCGGCAGGAGGAGGAGGTGTGGTAAACTCCAAGTGAGGAGATGTTGGTATGCAGAAGACATTTGAAAAGACCTGTAGGCAGAAGGAGGCACTGTCAAGTGCTTCTCATTCACGTGAAATGTATGCTGACAATTTGGATTGCTACAGGACTCGAGACACACCCAAGAAGCGTTGAAGCACTGCAAGGGTTGGGCATGTCTTCCTCAAAGTGCTGCCAAAAAAAAAAACGTCGCACCGGTTTCACAACGGAAGCTCACCTTTTGCTCGGCAGCCAGACGCTGCGGGGAGGAGCTGAGGGAAGTCGGGGGACAGTGTGGAGCTAAGGTGGCAGCAGGGTGCCGCGAGCCGATGGGTGGGGGAGGAATGAGACCAACGATGTGCGGAGGACATGCAGCATGGCCGTCGGTGGGGCCAGCACAGGTTCAGATGCTCAAACTCAAAGCTGGAGAGAAGACAGTAGGAGAATATCAAAAAATATGTCGAATATAAATCTCAGTACAACACCCCCTAACCCCTCCGACACGTTATTTACGACTACAACAGATGTGAATTGACATTTAATGAACACAATCCATTTCGATGTGATTGTCTTCTATCTACGAAAGACGCAGGAGCGGATTTATTTGACTCCTGAAAATTTGTAGTTTGTCAGTTGTCCCATCAGGAGACTATCACGAGCTGATCAGGAAATAAATCGCGCAGGTTTCACCCAAATCCGCCGCGTCGACAGTTTGTGCCAGCAAAACAGACCCTCCGTATCAGCAAATCATTTTTCACCGGGTCGAGCAGCACGTTGAAATCCTTTTGACTTCTCAAGCCAATAAACTGACACAAACCTGATTTGATGACACGGTCTGCCTCCACCGCCCCTCCGTGCATCTGAGGCAAAATAAGTATATAAATAATCCGGGTAAAAATCATCCAGAACAGAAAAAAACTGTTTGGAAAAAAAGTGATTTAGCCACATTCGTTCCACCTTGTTGTTACATATTCCTTTTTTGCCTCAAGTTTGGGTCAGGCAGAAGTCAACTTGGTCACCTGGATTGATGAAAGCGAGGAGACCTTTCGGCCTAATAGGCTCCTTTTCTCCTGGGAATCTCCATCAGAAAAATGGTCTCTGTGACCAAGAGGTGAAGGTCACGGGTTTGTTTCACTCTCCCCGTCCTTCTGAGATGAAGAGAAGCACACTTGCCAACTCGGTTTGCTTCCAGTCAGGTTGGATGAGGGCTTTAAAAATGTATTCAGGCTTTAAAAAAAAAAAAAAAAGAAATACATTTTAATCCATTTCCAACATCAACGGCCACATTTTTATTCCAGAAATATTTGGACAAGAATAATGTCTTATTATTGTGACATGCCCCTTTGATACATTGCTTCATCATTGTAAATGTGGATGTGTACAATGTAATGAGATTACATACATACAAGAGCAGCATCACAACTGGAGATGCAAAAGTCAAGCTTAGTTGTGCTTGACAGAGAGGTGCAGTTTGTCAATAGTAGTGGTTGCTTCATTAACATGTGCAGGGGGAACTAATAAAGGCAACAGTATTTTAGAAGCCATACCGATAATAGCAGAATTCTGGATTGATAAATGAAGGCAAATAAATGGATTGGCATGTTATACATTGAAAAACATCATGCACTGTAAACGGTGGGTGGGCAACATTGTATAATTTAGAAGCATTGTATAGTTTAGCCAGCTCATATTCACTGGTTTCAGAAAAGACTGCACGACTCTACTTAAACCATACTGCGGTCCTATGTGAGGCCGATCGTTAGTGCTTGGCGAGTCCATTGAACGAACACGCCATTACAAACGCTTGGATTAGGAATTTGCCGCATCTGGAGGATCGCTTCACGCATTGCATACTGACATGCTGAGAGTTGGGTACCTGTTCAATCCAGGGTCCTTTAAGGCACCTTGAGCCAAACAGCTGCTGGCATTTCTATGACTTATTTACACGCCGTGGCCACGGGTTCATCGCGTGGGTTTTTCGAAATGCTGCTCCCGCAACACCGTTTCAGAAGATAACCGTTGTCGTACTCATTCGTCTTTCACGTCGCGCGATCGCCATGGCGTGTTAAATCCTCGTTGTCCCCCGCAGTACAGTAAATTGGGTCACTATTCCACTCACTTGCTCAGCTGATGTGCACTTCTAAGCTTCACCAAGCCACTTATAAGACAGACGTGCATTTCCGGTAGCAATTTCAAAATAAATAACTCGTCCACCAGGTATTTTAACGTGTAATCAGAGATTAAGAAAGAATGACACACACAGTCCCTCGTGACAAAAAAGAAAAAAATGAAAGCAATTACTAGCCTAAAATGATACGATACCTAATGCGGATTGTTGTGAAAGTAAACATGTTGACGCGCCAGTGGTTAATGAAGGATAAATTATTGTATCTTAATCCTACTCGTTCCGGTCTGTGCGCCACGACTACCAAAGACGAAATGCAAAACTTTAACACTCACCTCATGGAATGTCATGAATGATTCGGGCTTGTAGTATATGATTCGCTAACAACAACAAACGGCGTAGGGTGAATTTCTTTTAATTATTGTGGGCAATTTCGCTTCAAACTGGACCAAAATGGCGACGGCACCTTCCAAGTAGCGTTACTGCGATTGGTCAATGATCTTGTCAGAGCGTTTTCATTGGCTTCCGGTAGCTTTACTTTGACATTCCATATCCGGCGGGAGCTCACGAGAAACGTATTGAATCTTTCGTTCAAATAAGCTATTTCTCAACAAAACCGTCATCTTTCCTCATTCTAGTAACCCAGACGAGCAGCGAAAACATCCGTGAGTAGATGATGCTGGTTTCCTGATTGCAGTGCGTTGCTAACCGCTAATAATGAAATTCCAACCCTTTCACAGTATTTTCTCTATGACGCCTTGCTGACACTGTGAGGCCACGATGGCTGACGGTGCAACAGTAGACGTGAGCGATCCGTTCTCAGGAGAAGAAGGTGGAGAAGCTCCAGAGAAGGATGCGGGAGGTGGTTTGACGGATGCTAAGAGGGAAGTGTTGGAGAGATGCCTCCATGCTCTCAAACATGCTAAAAATGATAGCCAGACTTTGGCCGCACTTCTTTTGGTACGTTTTCATCGGCTCTCCTTATTTAATGAGATCTTTTACACGGGATACATTTGTTGAATTTGCCTGTAGATGTAACAAGATGGCTGCAAACCACTTAAAACGGGGAGGATCACAAAGTATCAACACCATGCATGGAGAATGTACATATTGAAGAACTCATCAATTCTCTACATTCCCAGATCACACGCTTGTGCCCAGCTTGCCAACTGGACAAACCCACCTTGAGGCGTATCTTTGAGGCTGTGGGTCTCAACCTTCCAGCTCGGCTATTGGTGACTGCCGCGAAGGGAAGCGGGGACCCCGGATTGCCCCCACACGAGCTCCTTTCATTGGGTGCAGCTCTGTTGTCTGCCTTAAGCACCGATCCAGACATGGCCTCTCAACCTCAGCTCCTTGCCACCATTCCGCTACTGCTGAAAATTTTAGCCTGCGGTGCAAGCGACCAACAGCAGACAGGTGATGAAAATGGAGACGGAGACGCTGGGCAGATTCCAAAAAAAATCAGTGATGAGGCTAAGACAGCAAGACAAAGTGAGGTCAGCATGCAAAAGGGCAAGGATGATGATAACAGTGCGGCGAATGAACCATCAACACCGAACCCAAACTCACCACCTGGAAAACTTGATGAGGCCGTAGCGGCTGACTGTTACCAGGTCCTGACTGCCGTGTGTGCCCAACCCAGGGGTCCTGACCATCTGCTGAACCGAGGTGCTGTTCCTGCTCTCTGCCAGGCTTTAGAATGGAACCAGACCTTGAGCCATAGGATGGGGCTTCCCTTGCTTGTTTGCCTCCTCTCGGGTAAAACCAAAGACAAAGCGTGGCGCGCACACTCAGCCGAACTGCTGCTTCTGCTGGTCAGGATGTCCAAAGACTTCTGCAAATCCACAGAGCAGAGCAGGCTGGATATGTGCTCCCAGTTGGTCAATGTTCTACCCCCAGGAGGAGTCACAGTCGAGAGAGGGGTGCTGAGGGAAGTGGTGAGCCGAGTGTGGGGGGCACTGAGACCCATGGTGCAGGCTAAATTGACTCCGAGACAGATTGGGCCAGTTTTGGTACTCAGCGCTTGTCTGCTTGATTTGTATGGTTGGGAGCTGGCTGGATCGCCAAAGTTCTGCTGCTTACTGGTGAATCGGGCTTGTGTGGAGGTCCGGATGGGATTGGAGGAACCGCCTGGAAACGATCTGAGCCAAGAGCTGCAAGACACGCTCACAGGTAGATGCAATTTTGAAATGGCATCTTTTGAGGACATTTTAATATCAATTTAATATGCTTTTATATCTTGAAATAAGTTGTGCCTTAAGTAGTCGCCAGTTCTTGCTTGTTAGCATAAGCTCTCAATAGGAGCAAAAAGCGGTATAAGACACCCGTCGCCGACTTATTTGGCGCAATAAATTCACTCCATTGACAAATACAATTAGGCCCATGCACCTTCTGGCGAGCAATAAATAATGACAAGACTAAAATTGGGTCATAAACGAGGTGGCACTGTGAAGCTTAGCATGTGTTCAAACAACGTTAACCTCCTTCTGCATCATTGTCCAGGTTGTTATCGGATCATGGAGGCGGCCATCGAGCAGGCCTGCAACCCGGCTGTCATGGCCGCTGCTTCGCCCGCTCCGAGTTCCATCTCCACCTTAAGCCTGCAGCAGAGCAGGCAGGTCCTCGGCGTACTGGAGGAGGCCTTCTCGGCTCTCATGTACCACCTGCAGCAGGTGAGATGATGGATTTGAAAAGCTTTTGGACCATGAGCGAGATCTAACGGAAGAACTGTGACCGCAGATTCACCTTTTGGATGACTGATGAAAATCAATTTTGGTAATGAGCAACAAATAATAAAAAGTAGTCCTTTTCTGACACGAATCCATCGAACGATCAAACTTGAGCAGTATTACCTCGTTCTTCTGTGTGTCTGTGTCAAAAGTTAAGAGACTCAGTGAGTGCGGCTATTAGTGTTTGCGTTACACTTTGTGTGGCCGTCTTTCATTGTGTTCTGTGTGTTTTATGCGCGTGTGTTACACTTTGGATGTCTGTGCACGTCACTCACCTAAATCTCGGTCATTTCCTGTTTTCCAAGTTGGACCAGAGTCGCTACGGCGACCCTTTTATTTTCGCCACATTCCGCTGCCTGTGCTCCTGGCTGGCCGAGGAGACTTCCTGCCTCAAGGAGGAAGTGACCACGTTGCTGCCAATTCTCATCAACTACTCGCGGAGCCACCTCATGGCCGAGAATTCCGAGCAGGGGCTCTCCGACTGGATGGGGAAGATGTCCGTCACCGATGAGGGCGGGACCTGGACGGGCAAAGAGGCGCTTAGGTAAAGTTAACGAGACCACTGACACCGTAGTGGATTGGTTTCGGATTCCTTAAGTATTTTTAGACCCATCTCATGTCTTCAGGTATCTCCTGCCAGCTCTGTGTCACCTCTCTGCCGAGGAAGGGCCCAGGAAGGTGCTGCTCACCCTTGACACGCCGGCCTTGCTGGTGTACTACCTTTCGCACAGCTTTACTTCCTTGAAGGGTAAAAGCGGAACGTCCTCAGTGAGGGAGCCCAGCATGGAGACGGCCTGCTCGGCCCTCCTTAACTTCTCCGTCACTGAGGCTGAAAGAGTCAGGTGGTTGCCGTCCTCATTCCAACCTAGAGCCGATTCTCAAGCGTCGATTGCTGTTTTACCGTTTCGCGTGTTTGATCCCCCAGTTGACAGGCAAAACAATTAAATGCGATTAAATTAAGATTTCTTTTCATGTGACACATGCAACATTTGTAACGCAATTGTGTTTTCTAGGAAGGATCAATGCTTCCAAACTTTGGAGAAGCACCTCAGCGAAGCACTTCCTGTTTTGGTGCACAAATCTGGCCTCCTTGTCCTTGCAGCAAATTACTGCACGTTGGGTTTGATGATTGGCAGACTGAAATCAGCTCCAACAGGTAATGTTTTTTTTTAGTAAGCCGTCAAACTGGTCTTAATTATTAAGATGACCTAATATAAAATACTTTGTGCTATTACCATTTTCAGGGCTGAATTAATGCACTGTCGCCAAAAGCTAGCAGCAATGAAAGCAAAGTCTTATATTTTACTTTCCAGGTTCGGGTGAAGCCAGTCAAAGGCGCTTCTTTTCCACGGCTCTCCGCTTTCTCCACGGCGCCCTGGACGCTGAGCTCAGCCCGGGGCCGGTTAAGGTGAGCTCCGGCTGGGAGGACAGCTGGGAGGAGGTCGCCGAACTCTGGAGGTTGGCTCTGCAGGCTCTGGGGGGCTGTTTCCGCTCTCAGTCCTGGTTGACCGAGCTAGTCAGAGAGGAAGGATGGTTGAGGAACACACTCGGCATGCTGGGCTGCTGTAGCGCACTACCGGACCAGCACACGCAGGAGGCGCTAGAGGAGGCTCTGTGTGCCTTGGCCAACCAGTGCCCACTCTGCAAACAGGACATTATGGAAGCCATGAAGAAGCATCATGATACAGGAGCTTTAAGCTGCATGAGAAACCTTAAGAAGATGATCGGAGTGAAATGACTGAAAAAAAAGTAAAGCTTTAAACACTTGCAGATGGTTGTAATGAAATGAGGGAAATCCTGAAGCCAAGGTGCATCTGTGACAAGCAATAGTTACCTTTGAGCACCAACTGAATTTATCATACTTCAATTGGAAATAATTGTCAAATGGTAACAGAATTTAATAAAGAAATATTTTTTATGATTGAACATTAATCCTTGTTTCCTGCGTTTCACTTCATTTGATTCTCTTCAGAACAACCGAGTATTTCCTCCCTTTGACCACAAGGTGGTGCTGTGACACTTATGTGACTTTTCTTCAGCGTGTCCTTTCTCGGTTCTCGGATTGAACTGATTTGATTTCATTTGAAGACGTCGTATTTCATTTAGAAATAGCTCTCACTGTGACACAGCAATTTAGCCAAGCACACAACTACAATCAGGAATATACCAGACGGATTGTTAAAATTCAAAACGGAGCAATCATGTATGTATAAAGGTACAATATCTGATACAGCGTTAGTATTGGATCTTAATCGATCATGGAAAGCGGCACTCATATTGTCCGGTAATTCCCACTAAAATTTATGACATTAAAAAAAACATACCTTTGTATATACTGTTTAAAATTGGTCTAAACCAGAGCATACTCACAGTGGTTCTCCACTTTCTTTTTTTTAAACACCCAAGTCGCTGAAAATAACATCACACGTAAATCACGATTCAATTGAAATGTATTGCACATACAATTGAAATATGAACTGGATTTGAATACATGTTTAAACAAAACACAAAAACCAAACAAACACACAAACAGCAAAGCTACAAGTGAAATATAACTGAACTCTGTTCGGGCAGTGATTCTCCGGCACGCCACAAGAGGGGGCCAGTGTATACTAGGGGGACCTGTACAACACGTACGAGAACCCCTGCTCACAAAATAAATAAATTACACGTTATGAAAAAAAAAATGTACGAGTTCTCTGGCGTACCACAAGAGGGGGCCAGTGTATACTTGGGGGGACCTGTAGAGAACCCCTGCTCTCAAAATAAATAAATGACACGTTTTTTAAAAAAAAGTTTAGATCGATCTACCCCCCTTTTATTATACTTCACACCTCCCGCCCTCTTTTTTTTTGAAACGTGCCCTCCTACTCCCTCTTCTGTCCTCTCGACTCCTCGCACATACAAACTCCTGCATGGCGTGACACACTAACTCACTTCTTCTCTCTCACCTCTCCACCCAACATCACTTCTTCAACCCCACGTTTATTTATTAATTTATTTCTTTATTTTAAATTCATTTAAACCCTTCAGCTGTTTTCTGACGGGCTGCTCTGGCGAAAGCATGCTGTGGAAGGCTCGGAACAAGACTGATGGCATGCAGGTATTTCGCTATTTCGTTTATTTAGTTTTGTTGGGCTGTGCGTAAAAGTCTGGGGGCGTTGTATGTGCGGATTTGAAAGTGAGAGGTTAAATTGATCGGAAATACAGAAAGAAAACGCGCCACGAATCGTGTAAAATATCTGTGTGTCAAAATAAAAGGTCGATGGAATTCATAGAAAAAAAAAGATGTCATTTCTCATTTAAATTAGAAGCATTAAACGGCGCGGTAAAGTTCTTTTTTTTTTAAGTGATTGTACTAATTGACTGAATATATCTCTTTAAGAGAAGTGGACCCCGTCGACCCCTCCCCTTATTCTTGCAGCTGCACCAAACCTATAAGTAGTGCCTTCATGGAGAGATTAATTTATTTCTTTATTTTAAATTCATTTAAACCCTTCAGCTGTTTTCTGACGGGCTGCTCTGGCGAAAGCATGCTGTGGAAGGCTCGGAACAAGACTGATGGCATGCAGGTATTTCGCTATTTCGTTTATTTAGTTTTGTTGGGCTGTGCGTAAAAGTCTGGGGGCGTTGTATGTGCGGATTTGAAAGTGAGAGGTTAAATTGATCGGAAATACAGAAAGAAAACGCGCCACGAATCGTGTAAAATATCTGTGTGTCAAAATAAAAGGTCGATGGAATTCATAGAAAAAAAAAAATGTCATTTCTCATTTAAATTAGAAGCATTAAACGGCGCGGTAAAGTTCTTTTTTTTTTAAGTGATTGTACTAATTGACTGAATATATCTCTTTAAGAGAAGTGGACCCCGTCGACCCCTCCCCTTATTCTTGCAGCTGCACCAAACCTATAAGTAGTGCCTTCATGGAGAGCATCCACGCCTCCGTCTATATGTGTGTGCGTGTGTGCATGTGTGCGCGTGTGTTTGTGAGCGTGTGTGTGTGCGTGTGTGTTTAAAGACACCGAGCCTTGAAGAAAGTGTAAATAACACATCGGGTTCATTAATGGACCCGTGCAACGAAGCTGGATTACATGGTGGAGAATTTTCCTGATCCCTTGGAAGGTTCAGCATCCTGTTGATTATTTTGGTTGTTTTCTCTCTTTTTTTTAACATTGGGGGTGTTCAGAGTGGGTCCAGATGTTGATCCACACTTATTCGGCTATGGTGAGTGTGGCGCTTTTGACGCATCTTTTTTTTTTTTTTTGGACCGCTTTGTAATCTATTTGCGCGTGATATCAGAACGAATGTGACTCGTGACAGTTAATACACAAGTTGATCGTTTTATTATTTGCATATTTATAGTAACTGACTTGAGTCAAAAAATTTTAACCAGTTTTCTATTATAAGTGACTTTACACTTGCATTTTGCAGTCCTTGCACACTAATTTGGAAAACGAATGACATGAAAAGTGGATTGTTTGGCATTGACAATGATAGAATGTGGAGCAGAAAACTGTTCGGCACATTTGAAATTTCACTTGAAATAAAGTGGTGCAGAGCATTTCTGTGTCAAATAATGGAGCCACATTGATCCGACTGACCCAGCTCTAAAAAAAAAAATCCAATTGTGTCAGGATATGTGTGAGCTTAAATGTAGGCTAAATGGATTCAACAACTTTTTGACGGACGACTTCGAGAATAATTGCATAATTTTAACTGCAACGCCAAATGTGAATGTGAATGAATGTAAAGATGCAACATTTTAGAGAAGGTGTTCAAAGTGCGTCACATATTTTTTTGCAGCGCTTTGTGGTGGCTGCGACCTTTGTGACACATGCCAAGGGGCGATTCTGCCAGCGTGCATTAAATCTGATGAAAATTTGTTTCATATGCCCGGCCATAAAAGATAGCTGCAGACATCCTTTTGGTGTAGAATCTAATGTGCATTTTATATTCTTTGCAAAGCTTCCAATTGAGTGAATGACAATGCCTGGCTTTTTTTTTCGTCAACCAAAGTGTGGAACGCGTGTGCTTTTTTTGTTTGTTTTTTTTGTGCAGGAGCGCGCAGACGGACTGAGCAGCTCCTCTCCGAGCGGGCGCCTTTCCCAGTTGTCCTCCCTCAACCAGGCCGCCTACTCCTCGGCTCCCCCCCTCTGCCACACTCCGGCCTCCGACTTCCAGCCGCCGTACTTCCCTCCCCCGTACCCGCAGTCGTCCCTGTCATACTCCCAGAGCCAGGACTCGGCCTACTCCCACCTGTCGGACCCTTACCCCTCCATTAACTCCATCCATCAGCATCAGCAAGCCGCATGGCACTCCCAGAGGTCGCGCTCCGACGAAGGGGGGCTTTTGTCGCAAACGCACCGGGCTCTCGGGCTCGACCCCCGGAGGGAGTACGCGGCTGTCCCCCGCCTCCTCCACGGTCTCGGCGAAGGGGCCGCCGCTCTCGGGGACGGACCCCTCGGGATGCACATAGGACATCACGGCCTGGATGAGCTTCAGGTGATCTCTCTTATGGCTTCGCCACCCCCCCACCCTATCCTCCATTTTTGGAATGGTAGTGCTGTGAAATAAACGGCGAAGCCTTAAAGTTGACGATTTTTAAAAAAGTGTACCTGATTTCATATGAAGTGAAAAATGCAGTGCTGTAATACTGCCTTCTCAATATATTTTAAAGAATCAAAACCCGATCAAGTCGATGGTTTTTTTTTACTCGACACTTTAAAAAATGATATTACTGTGTAGGCAATATTTGTAGATTACAAAAAAAGAGTCTAGTGTCACAACTGGTGTAAAAATAGCCGATACGATTCGAGCAATAAATCAGTCAATCGGTGTGAAATTTATAAACATCTAAAGATTTTAATGCAAGACTATTTTTATTTCCCCAAAACGCATCTCGATTACCTGAAAGGTTGACTAAAAATGAATCTTCTGTTAAAATTACAAAAAAATGTTCACTTCCTATTTTTAGACGTATTTTGGCATCGCTTTGTAAAGTTTACACGGAAAAAAAAATCCACTTCAGAAAAACCTTTTTAAAAGTTATAAATCACAAATAAAATAGTGACAAAAACACTTTTTGAACACATATTCCCATCACAAAACAGATATTTGTTTATGTACTAGCGGCAGATTCGTCATTTCCATACATCGTGTGCTGCCATATTTCCCGAAACGATTAACAGAAGTCAATGATGTTTTGTTATTTATATACAGCAGGCACGTTATAAATCAATGGATCCGGTGTCTTTTTTTTTTTTTTTTTTACGCGTGGCGTATATGAGACATCATAACTCCCACTTTTCCCACTTTTGCCCCCCCTTTTGCCCAGCCCACAAGAATAGTTTGTAAGCTTTAGTTAGTAGTCAGCTTCCCCCGCAGCAGGTGCAGCTGCAGACGCTGTTTGTTGCCCTGCGTGCCGCACAAACACACCGCGACCAATTGATGTTCACGCTCATTATTAAAGAAGAAAAAAAAAAAGCGACGTCGCGGATGCGAGCCAGAAGAACACAGTCGAGGCGGGCATGTCGCTGCTAAACAGGGGCCCCTGTTCGACAAGCGTCTTTATTTGATTAATGGGCGATATCCTGCACCTTGAAAGCCGACTGTGAAATAAGCACAAAGGAAGCTCGCCTTGTGTCCTTTTTATCGATGCTTGAATGAATGGAGCGAAGCGTCTTAAACGGATTCGATTAAGTCAAACGAGAGCTACGCCGACGAATATTTTGATGGCGACGCAATTGCACTTCGGTGGCTGTCGCGCAAATCCAATATGAATTGTTTTGTTTTGTTTTTTGCTTAACTAATACAATAGTGTGGAACACGAAAAATTATTTTTACACTCTTCCATTTATCGTTGCTGAATGCTTTAATCAGGTCGACCGATAAGTTTATTCGCCTTCGTGTGAATGTTTAGACAAACATTTAATCCAGTATTTTTGTTTTAAAAAAAACCCTCAAATGATACGGTCACCTGCTTTTTTTTTTTTTTTGCAAAAATTTTGGACAAAAATAATTGCATTAAACTAACTTGAATTAATTACTTACTATAGCGATGTGCTTTAACACATTAATTCAATATATCTGTGTGTGTCTATAAAAGCGTTTATATAAATGTGTGTATACATATATACACTTACACACAGGTGTACCACTTTCAGATATTACTTAGCACCCATTCTTCTACATGGAACCGACTATTGTCCAAAGTTCGGATATAGCACTAAATGAGAACCAAATCGATTTTTTGATATGAATCCTAATCTATGATCTAAAGACTTCCCTGCTGCTACAAAATCACATTTTTCTAAAGAACCAGCACCATAAAGTACCCCAGAGGTGAAAAATGGTGGTATATGGTACCGGGGTGGGGGTTGGGGGGTGCTACACAAACGGGAAAGCAATATAGAACCTCTGAAGCATCTTTAATTTTGAGAGTGTGCATTACCTGCCTTTTAAAGCGAAAAGCAGTGTGTGTGTGTGTGTGTGTGTGTAAGCTATAAGGCCAGTGGATAAATGATAGTGACTGTCTGTCTGACACAGGGAATGGAGGAAGGATCAGCCTTGGGCATCTTGGACCACTCTGTCATTAAAAAAGGTAAGATCCCAGAATGTGTGTGAAGAGAAAGGGCGAGCGCCTCTGTCCAAAGTGCGCACCTATATAATTGTGCTATACATGCTGAAGGGGTTTTTGTGTTTAGTAATGGCGCTCCAACACCAGTCTTGCCTTGCTGACACACAAACACGCGTGCACACACACACACACACACACGCACACACACACACACACACACACACACACACACACACACACACACACACGCTATAAATAATTCTGTTTTGCTATTTCATTTGAAGTCAAGAAGTCCTCTAATACTCAGCTGCAGACTTTCACCCCAAAGGCACACATTCTTAATGAACTGTTCATGGTCATATGAGTGAGAGAGAGAGAGAAAAGACAGTGTGTGTGTGTGTGTGTGTGTGTGTGTGTGTGTGTGTGTGTGTGTGTGTACGTGTGTGTGTGCATGTGAGAGAGAGAGAGAGAGAGAGAGAGAGAGAGAGAGAGAAGAGAGAGAGAGAGAGAGAGAGAGAGAGAGAGAAAGAGAGGGACTAAAGTGAACAGAAAAGAGAAGTGGGCCAAGGAAAAAAATTTGATACGATAAAAGCGGAGTTGTGGGGACATTTGCAGTGTCGTCGTGCTAATATTACAGATATTGAGTGGCAGGTTTTTTTTTTGGTGGCCTTTTCAGAAGACGCAGGGGCACAGTTAGAAAACTCAAGTAGCATTAAAAGATGGTGGAGTCAGGATGCAAGTGTGGGGGGTGGGGGTCGACGTTAGTTGAGTCTGCATAGGAGTGTGGCTCAACATTATGAAGAATATGATTTTGAACGTTTGTGTGAACACTGTGATGGTTCATTGCAAACTTCAATAAGTTTGCAAGATACAACAAAATTGATTAATTGTTGCACCTCTACTTTTGCAATCCGGATAAAAAGACAAACAACTAAATATCATTACTAGCTCAGTCACGGTATCAGTGGAAATACCTCTTTTCTTTTTGGGTCTTCCAGTTCCTGTCCCATCCAAGCTGAACGGTTCATCCTTGTCCGCCTTGTCCCTCGGTAAGGACGGCCTTGGCATGGGCGCCGTGTCCAACCCGGCCGAGGTTTTCTGCTCGGTGCCAGGCCGCCTGTCGCTGCTCAGCTCCACCTCCAAGTATAAGGTCACCGTTGGGGAGGTGCAGCGGCGGCTCTCCCCGCCCGAGTGCCTCAACGCTTCTCTGTTGGGCGGAGTCCTCCGCAGGTAAGAGAAAAAAATCACCAATAATGTCGCACAGAATTCCATTCATACCTCCACAAGAGGTGGATAAAAATACTCCCATTCTGTTCTGCTCTAGCTAACAAGTTGGCTAGCATTAACTCAGGCTAACGTTGTGAGTGGCGTAACAAAAAAAAAAAAAAAAGATAAATTAGCCATTAATAAAAAAAAAAAAATTAAAAAAAAAAATTCACACATACCTGTATGAGTTGTTTCAGATTAGCTGGATAATTTAACTTGAATATTCAATTTTTGACAAATTCTGTATTTTCAATCGCTACATTTCAACACACGCGTGCTTTCGACTTCTTAATTGGTCAAAATGAGCTTGTGAATTATTCCAACCGCCGTGGATGACCACACGGCGTTTTACTCTAAAAGTGATGATGGAGTGATCTAATTTTGACACCAAAGGCACTTCATAAGGATACTGACCCCAAAAGAGGCTTGCGCTCAGTGACCAAGTTGAGGTGGGCCATGGAACTGATGCACAACTGCAAAATACGGAGAAGGATTTGAAAGTGCGTGTCAACAGTGGTCTCAGTTCAATCCGAACCTCTCTGGTGATGTCTTCCGAATAAAAGCGCCTATACAAAGCAACTGTGAGGTCAGAGCTTGCGGACCCAAAATGGGTCATGGGACTAAATCACAAGAGCGGGCAACGTTTTAATGAATCCAGGCCTCAGGGCAAGAGAGAGCAAACTCATGGATGGGGCTCATTAAAGGATCAAAAGGGAAGTAAGTTTCTTTCTCCTCTACGGAGAGAGGCGAACTCCTGCTTGGTGACAATTTGTCGCTCTCTGTCATGCCCCCACCCAAAAAAAGTGTGCTTATGTAAAAATCAACAGACCCATAAAGGTGAATATCAAGGAGCGAAAACAAGGCAAGGAAATAAAACACACAAAACACATTTTGAGTGTTGACAGGGATCAGATTCAGATTCAGATTCAGAAAACTTTATTTATCCCCGTGGGGCAATTAGAGGAGGGTTTCAGTGGGACACACACACACACACACACACACACACACACACACACACACACACACACACACACACACACACACACTCAGAGATTGGACCATCTACTAAAAACTGCTCGCTGTCTCTACCTCCCCTCAGGGCGAAGTCCAAGAATGGTGGCCGCTGTCTGCGAGAGCGTCTGGAGAAGATTGGCCTCAACCTGCCCGCCGGGCGACGCAAGGCAGCCAACGTCACTCTGCTAACATCTCTGGTGGAGGGTGCGACGCACACTCACACACACACACATACACCGTCAAACACTGACCTGCCCACATCCTAACAGATAGAGACATGCAGAATGATGGTTCAAATTAGCTGATGTGAATATTAAACCAGGCAAGGGTGGCATACACAGGTGCACACACAAGTCCAGAGTGTCGTTTAAAAAAAAAAAAAAAAGAAGCCAAAAGACCAGTGAACTGTGTAAGTAGTGCAAGTGAGAAAATGGTTGCACAATGTTTCCCCTGACCTGACTTGACAAAGCAGCAGATTGTGCAGCATTTTGAAGGTTTTTTCATGGCTACTAAATAGGAAACCCGCACAGATGTCACAATAACAGCCCTGTTTTTCAACACACCAAATTGAAAATCCTCTATGAGAATAACACTGCCTCTATCGTCGCCATCCTCCTCCTCCTCCTCCTCTTGCAGGTGAGGCCGTCCATCTGGCGAGGGATTTCGGATACGTGTGCGAGACCGAGTTCCCCGCTAGAGCCGCCGCCGAGTATCTGTGCAGGCAGAGCGAGCCCGACCAGCTTCCCACGCGACGCAGCATGCTCCTCGCCACCAAGTGAGTGGGACTTTCCATATTTGAGTCGACGGGTGACATGTGACATCGGGCACACCTGCAATATGAGTCCAAGTATAGTGAGAACATTCACTGGGACAGGTCATGAGGTGCACTGTCTTGGTTGGATTCAAGACAAGCACTTCGATTGATAGCCTACTGCAGGGGTGTCAAACTCATTTTTTGTCACGGGCCAGATTTTAGTTGCAGTTTCCCTTGGAGGGCCATAATGACTGAAACCATATAAAGAAGTCAAGAATAACGGTTGATTCCCCTATTGTTTAAGTTACGGAAATGAGGGGTTTGTTCACAAGAAAATGCTTACAGTATCACTCTTATTTATTACAAATGAGAATTTTTAAAGTTTGGTAGAGATTTTAGCAAGCATCATAAAGTTGACATATTTGATTTGCTTTCACGGGCCACATAAAATGATGTGGCGGGCCAGATCTGGCCCCCGGGCCTTGTGTTTGACACCTGTGGCCTACTGTTTCAGAGGTATTCATTGAACAGTACAGTGGAAACTAATGAGCGCACCAATCGATACATTTTTTTGGGTGACTCTTTTGCTTTGTGTTGCCAGAAAGCGAGCAGGGGCGGAGCTACATGGTGGCCAACGGTGGCCGCGTCTGGGGTATTATTTTGATGAACATGAATCAGATGATTAGTACGGCTTTACTGCCCATTCTACAGGGTCATACTAAACTGAGACACTTGGATGATTTACCACAAAACATATTGATTATGTCTCTGAATACGTCTCGATACTATTGAACAGCACAGTGTCTGAAAAAAATCGCTAATAACAAAACATTGCAAATACATGATGAGCAATAATCAAGACGATTACTTTCAACATGGCCCGAGAAATCAGTGTTTGTCATACCATCCGCAGTCAAGGATTTAATGATATAAAACCGACACATATAATCAGTCTCACCCAACACACTCATGATCCGAGCAGGAATAAATATATGGTGAATAATTTGTCAAAATACAAATTTTGTCAAATTGTCAAAATACAAATACACACATGGGGACTGACCGACACTATCGATCTGTGAAAAAGACATCTACTAAACGTATTACCATGACCATGTGACATCACACAACATCACGCCACATGAAGTCACACGGTCATGACTGGCTCTCATTCGATGGTGCAGGTTTGCCTGATGTTGTGTCCCACAGGTGTATGCTTCCAACGGAAAAAGCCGTGAGACCCCCCCACCCCTTACCTCCTTTTTCTTTCTTAAAGGGAAATCTGCAAGGAGTTTGTAGACCTCATGTCCCAGGATCGCTCTCCGCTCGGGGGCAGCAGACCGAACCCCTGCCTGGAGCCAAGCCTCCAGGGGAGCCTCACCCACTTCAGCCTGCTCACCCACGGCTTCGGTACCCCCGCCATCTGCGCTGCGCTCTCCGCTTTCCAGAGTTACCTGATGGAAGCCATCAAAATGCTGGACAAAGGAGACGGCGTAGGGAAAGGCCACCACGACAAGGAGATGAAGCATCGTAAATAGACAGTGAAGAGGCAAAAAAAGATGCCAAAACTCCTCGGTGTTGCAACCTTTGGGACAAATAGAGAGACCAGCCTGGACTCTCAGGCATAAGGAGGTCTACTGTAATGTACTATAATGTTTGTCCATAAACTTCATTTCAAATGGACCTCTTCTAGTTGCATCCACACCAGGATGCGCTCCTACATATGGCAGTATTGTTTAATTTCACACCAATCTTGTTTTTTTTTTGTTTTTGTTTTTTTTAATGACTTGTTCGTGGAAGCGGATATTTCCAACATTTTGGACTCATGCCGGACGTGTCGTACAAAAGCCATATCTGAGGCAACAACCTGCTCTTTTGCTGACAGACTTCATTTTCTCGGCTTCGGTTTGTAGTTCTTAGCAAGGTGCTCATGGAAAATGGCAGTTGCATGTTTGGTCTTCAGTGGACAGAGAGGGTTGAAAATGCAGCTCGAGGCGAGGGGAGGCTTCTGCGTGTTGTGTACATAAGTGAAGCAAAGAGCAAAATCATTTTGTACTTTGTGTGTATGTTTATTATTATTATTATTACTGTTATCATTGTATTACAACATAAATGTAATATATTATTAAAAAAAAAAGAATGGATCTGTTTGATGGGTGTTTTTAATGTTTTGATCAGGTATATCAAAACAATAAAAAAATTCCCATGCCCCTTTAACTGCACTCAACGAAACACTTTACATATGTAAAGGTCAACAATCATACACTGACCGCCAATGCTTTGACCACAAAAGAAATCAATATGTTCACATTTTCAAACATGACATCACTCCTAGATAATTACAATGTCCCACCACCGGTGAGCTATTTTTAGAACAGGCCCACGGCTTACTCATGTCCATGGGTGCTACCTGGTGAATGCGCAGACCACGTTGGTGACCCATGCTCAAGGGCAAAGCTGGCCGGTAGGTTCAATGAATCATTTATAGATAGATTTAAAAAAAACAATAATTTGACACCTCAAAAAATATTTTCCTCATAGTATAGCAATTAGATTTACCGTATTCAAAATGTACAGAGTACTCATCAACAGCAGGATGAAGCCTGCAGTGACTCCCTCTTCCTCTATTGACGGTTGAGTTCCCTCTAACCTTAAAACGACTCTCTTTACAAGACCATCAATGGCTCTAGAGGACGCGCTCTCCTGTTCTCGTGCCTTCTTAACATGATTCCCCGCAGTTCAACATTCAAGACAAACGCTACAGATGGATCATGGAACTTCGCCCTCCTGTCGGCATCAAACTGTGCTAACCTTGGTTAAAAATCTCTTAACATGGTGACTATGGTAAAATTAAGGGGGCCTAAAATAGACTCCAGGGGGCTCCGCTCCATCTGCAGCCTTGAACACAATGACGGGGGTGAGCCCATGCAGAGGTTTGACCCCCAATGTCCAATAAGCCAAACAACTCAGATTCAACCATCTGTTTGTGCGTGACTTACTTCCCATGGACCAGCTCTCCTGGTCCACCAAACGCTATTCCAGCTTTCCCGGGGCCGCACACATCCTCTCAAATACCTGTCTTATCTCTCTTGCTCTCCTCCCATCTCATTACTCCTCTCAGTAACCTAACCTCCGCTCTCCTCCTCCATCACCCACTCTGCCCCCCCCCCAACACCGCCGTCTCCCGCCCCTTATCTGACACTCAGCAGGGCCGCTCTCCATCTCCGTGTGTGTGCCTGCAGGCAAACATATGCTGCTCTTCCCGTCAAGAAGATTCCGGTGTGTTTGAGAGAGGAGGGATTGTTTAATGTTTATTAATCACCTGTCTGTGGAATGAGGTGGCGAGACAGCAATGGAGCTGCACACACACACACACACACACACACACACACACACACACACACACACACACACAGGTCTTTTCAGTAAGGTTACCTGCCTGTCCCGGGTTTTCCATTTACAGCAACACAAACTGTCTAACATTTAAGGGAACAATCTTTTTAAGAGCACATGCTAAATCACAGGTGTCAAACTCAAAAGACAGGGTGCCATTTCCCGTCCATCAAATTTTTTGGTGACCCAATAAAGCAAATAAAGTGATCAACTTCATGTTTCTTGATAATTAGTTCTATTCATTTTACTAAAAAAAGTAGACTTCCAAGGTCAAATCCCAGGTGTTGCCGTAGCCGCCCCCACCCCAAAAAAAAAAAAATCAGACCAAGACAAATAATTTACAAATATTTTCACCTCACCGACAGTTCATTTTAATTGAGTTTAACCGGTTAGAGGCCACTTTAACCCTTTGAGGGACAGCGGTTAGTACAGTGGACAGCTTATCATTTTATCAGGTTACTTTATAGGGTACATGAAAGGGTAGATTGTGGGGCGGGAAAAAATAAGCTTGGAAGTTGTTATCTAGCTCTTATTTTCAATAAAACTTTCTTCATCCATAACTTAATCACTCATGCATACATCTTATCAAGCAGATGTAGTTATCAATGGTCTATAATTTGATACAGATCCAAAATAAGGACAGTAGAGCCTTGTCAGAGGTCTCCCTTTTACTAAGGAGAATTCAATTGAAAGCTTTGTGGGTTGCCTCTATGCCTCAGAGTAAATCCTTTCCTTCAAAGGCACCTAAAGACTGATCGATAGTCCCAGAAAAAGCACCCGGTAGATTTTTCAAAACCTTACACCAGTTACATCCATAACTGTATTTAGGCACGTTAACAAGATTCAAAACAAAAGGGCACGAGTACTGGTTCATGTGGTACACCTGTCCATCATAAATCAACAAATCTGCCCTTTTTATGTACTTCTGTTTCTAAAATGCTTTTGGTCACTTTGCCCCCCCCCCCCACACACACACACACACACATTTTTAGCAAGCACACAAGCATGAGCAAGTGTCCAATGCACACAGACTGAATTCAAGTGCAAAAGTACACAGCCAGGAGCGTGTTCTCATGTTGCAGATGAGTAAACTAGAGAGCATAGCGAAAAGCACCACAGGGGCAAAGAGCGTATATCTCAACTGCGCGTCACTTTTTATTGGAATAGAAAGAACAAGGAGGTCAGTGGTAGAAAAAAAAAGGGACCGGTCACTTGGTGGGAGAGAGCTTCTCCAGGTCATGGATGCCCTCCTTGTCAATCAAACGGACGGTGAAGGAGGGAAGGTTCAGAATGAAGCGCCTGTTCAGCTGGTGGAGGCAGAAACAACAGTGACAATCAGAACAAATCAAACGAAACTCTCCTGGGAGACCTAATCGAGTGAGAAATGGCAAGTAACTACTAATTTTCCAAAAGTTATGTTATTAAAAAGTGCAATGAAATGTTAACCAACCTCTTCAATGCACTTCTTCAACACATCCACCGCTTCATCTCTGGTCAGATCTGGAAGACACGAAGATGGCCATGAATTGTGGGGCCGAAAATTGGAGAGGATTAACAGTAGCTTTTGGGGGCCTAGCACACACCTGGTTTGTAGTAGCGGTCAAGGATGGAGAGCGTGAGAAAGGCGCCATAACCGTGGGCGGCGAAGGGGGCCTTGACCAGCGAGGACAGGTGGTCCATGTAGTACAGACCCGGCCCGTCTGTGTCGTCGTAGCCCGCCAGCAACATGTTGACGTGATATGGTGTCTGAAGACAGGAGAGGATGAAGGCGTCGCGGCATTCCGCCTTTGCTCACGTGCCCGTTTCGAAATTTCACTGTGGCCTCGCGTGTTTCTGCTGAGCTGCGATCAAACGCCTCTGGCTTTAAATAATCGCAAAAAGACCTGAGGTTCATTCAGTACGCGGGTGGAATCCATCGTGGAGGGAGGCAGCAAATTATTTCTGAAAGGAAAAGGACTGGTCCATTTAAATGCACCTTCTATCTATCCAACGAGATATTAATCGCCCGATCCACCTGTAATGTATCTGTATTTCTTTCTGCCAAAAATCAGCATCTGGTTCAAAACCTCCAAATTCCTCAGGCCCGAAAATTAACTCGCTTGAATGCGGCACTGCCTGAGAAGTGTGCTCTAAAACTCCACCTCGTCCCTCATTCTGTGGGAGCCGCGTGGCATGTTGTCGCCTCAAGATTGAGAGCCCGGATAGACAGTCATAAGTGAAATCACTGTAGTTGTGAAGGTAAATTTGTGCACAGATTAGTGGTTTTATTGATTGACTGGCGGCTGGAAGACATTTGAAAAAGTTTGGGAAGATGATGAAACCACAGGCATTTGTTTTTTTTGAAGTATTAAAGGTAACTCAAGCAAGCCATTTTTGGGAGGGGGTTGTTTTAACCCTTTCAGGGACAACGGTTACTACAGTGGACAGCTTATCAGGTTATAGTGTGGATGAAAGGGTAATTTCCAAAAGTTTAAGTCATTTTGGTGGGGGGAGGACGCTCGACGCTGATGATCAACACCAGGAATTTGACGGAGATTATTCTTTCTTTAGCTCTGCTGGATTTTTTCCGTCTTGACCAAGGGAGCTTCCACATTTTCGATAGCTAGGGACCATTTTCATCCATTTCCTCTGATGTGAAAGAAGGAGATGGGGCAAACGTATGTTTGTTGGGGGCGGGGGGTTAGTCACTTGCATTGTGGCATCTGCTGGAAGTCAGCACCCCTGTCACCGCCTTCATCACACCCTCCCTCCCTCTTCCTTGCTTCGCTTGCTCGCTCGTCCCCTCCTCTCCTCTCCCGCTGCCTTCACCCCGAGCCCCCCCGAGTCACGCCAGGGCTCATTAAAAACTTCTAAAGTCGTTTCTCTTGCACCCCCCCTTCTCCGTCTTTCGAAATTACATCTTCCACGCTTCCAGCCTCTTCTCTCCCTCCAGTACACTAATTTCTTTCCTCAATTAAAAAAAAAACACAATTTGGAGGGCTTCAAAATATCTTGAAGCCTAAATGCTTGACAGAGAAAGGGTGTTTTTTTTGATTAGCGCCAAATAGAAACACAAAAACAATAATAATGTCGCTCCCTCTTGCAGCGAGGTGATTCATTCAAGCCAGGCCGGTGACGATCTCAACACCTTCCACGTCATTCCAATTTGGCTCACATTTGACCTGCTTATTTCTGTGACTTGTGTTGGCGTTATATTTGCCACGAGGGGGATGATCGTTATATCCCTTGTGGAGTGGGCTTTAGTATGAGTGTTAATGATGGGCTCGCACAAACACACACACTCACTCGAAAGCATAACTGTGTGTGTGTGTGCGTGCGCGCGAATCGGCGCACAGCACGTACGGCCGCGTATCGCACCCGCGCGTGTTTGTATGCGCGCTTTTACTCCTCTGTGAGCCTGCGAACGCCCCAAGTGGCATCACCCCCACCCACCAGACACCTGCCTCACTGGTTACATTGTAACAATAATACGGAGCTGGCATCAAAATAACCTTCCCATGTCACCTCAAAGGCACCTTGTTAACCCCGCCACCTGAACTCACACCTTGATTCACATTAACAAACAATATGCATCATCTGATCAACCCCCCCCCCCCCCGCACCCCCCCCCCCCCCCCCGTCCTCTTTCTTTGATAAATACCCTTCCCATGTCACCTCAAAGGCACCTTGTTACCCCCGCCCCCTGAACTCACACCTTGATTCACATTAACAAACAATATGCATCATCTGATCACCCCCCCCCCCCGCCCCTACTCCCCAACACACACTCGCTTTTGTATTAATGCACACAGAAGATAAAAAGGTGCATGTTCCTAGTGATAACCCAAATCAAAATTCCACTGTTCTTTTCACAAACCTTCAATTTTAAGCACAATGTCAGGTCCAAAATGAAAATATACAAAGATATGATTCCTATGAATAACTCCAACGCATCATCAGAGCGCGTGTTCATGTTTTGGCCTCGGAAAGGGTCCACTTTGGAAAGGTACAATCAGGTCCATCAATATTGGGACGTTGACATCAGAACAAGCTGCTGACAAAAGCACCAGGGTGAATTCTTAAGTGTTTGGGGAAATACGATCGGCTCATATTTAGCCGAATGCTTCAGAATTTATCGGGCGGTGCTTCACAGTGCAGATGGACGATAACCCGAAACATACTGCAAAAGCAACCAGGGAGTTTGTGCGGGAAAAGTCAATCACCTAACCTGTTATCCAACCGAGCAAGCAGTTCATTACCCCTGGAACGAAAGACAGTTGCACGTGAGGCCTGCCAAGTCTGCAGTTAAAGCACATCTTCTTTCATTTCATTTCAAATGCATGGTGGTGATATTTCGACCCAAAAAAATGAGATGAGTATTTCTGGAGCTGACTGTAAACTGGTTTCTGCCCAACCCTCCAATAAACCGTCCACAGAAATGATGCACCGACGTTCAAACTCTTCTGCCAAGTTTAAGCGCTGCCTTTCCGTCCTCTCTTTCCTGTCGCCCACTCCTCTCCCCTCCGTGATTGCACCCCCCCCCCCCCCCCGGGGCGTGTTCTCTTTATTGGCATTCCTCCTCAATCTGTTGTATTAATTGTTCATCTGCGCGGGAGCCGTTGCGCTGTGTGCGCAATATGGTACCGGTAATTATTTGTGCCCGTTGTGTGGCCCCGTTGGAAAATTTATCGCCAACACGTATGGGCCCCAGCTGTAGCGTGCCGCCGTGCAGAGGCTAACTGTTGCCGTGGCCTAACAGAGCAGGTTCCTGTCGCAATCTATCACTGATCGCTGCTGGGGGATGCCCTGAAATCCATCGCTCCCTTAAGTATTCTAACAGCATGTTTAATTGCTACAATAGCGGTTAATCACTGTCAATTAAAAAAAAAGAAAGAAAGAAAGAAAAAACTATCTGCTATGCTAACTACAGCAAAAAAAAAAAAAAAAGAAGACTTGGATTGCCATTTGTCAGTGTGTTTTTCTTTTTTCTGTTATGTATTAAAGAAAAAAAAATGTTCTCCTAGTTACAAACAAGATGCCAAAAAATGTTGAAGATGAAAACAGAGGATTCGGATTTCATCTTGACCCGCAGAAGACGGCAGACACTGCAGCCATCTCAAGGACCTTGGCAGGTACCCTCTAAGCGCTCTGGTAAATCGACGTATCTATTCAGCATCGAGACAAAAGCTTCGAAACGCAGCGGAAGACAGACAGGATTCCACGGACCCATCGGCTTTTAACTTCTTGTTTGGCCCTGCGCTGAATCCTGCGCCTCATTACTGATGCGGACTTGTCAAGGCCTCCGGTGATTACGTTTACCGCCAACTTTTTTTTTCCCTCTCCTCTCTTTGTTTCGCTCCACTTTCGCTCTCCCATGCTCCCTGAAGCTGGAGTAAATGCGGTTCTCCAGAGGTTAATAGTGCGGCCCTGTTGTTTTCCTGAACGGCAGGTTGGCTAGCGCGGCGCTACGTAAGGCAAGTCCCGGCCTCCTCCGTTTCGACATGCTCTGCTGGCGAGAGTTAACGACACCTCCCGGTGGTCGGCAGCCACTGGAGTGTGACATCTCTCAGTCTATAGAACTCATCTGGAATGTGTCCTGCAGGAATAAGGCCATAGGAATTAACAATATAGCCCTGATTAATTTATCAGCCAGTCATTTTTTTTTTAACCTAGGGCTTCGGATACGCCGGCAGTGCGGTGATCGTTTTTGGGGATGGGGGCTGGGGGGGTGGGGGCTTTGATGCACTCAGAAGATGACTTGAGGATGGAGGAGTAACAATTTGGATCCAAAACAAATCATTATCTTGATAAATCCTCTTTTTGCAGTGGCTAGATAGGAATCTACTCTGATTTAATCAAATTAATTAAAACCAATTGTCAAATATCTGGGACAGTTGCCCAGAAATCAACTGGAAAAAAAAAAAAAGGTTAGGCATCTGGAGGCATCTTCACAGAAATCGATAGTTAATGATGTCGTATTCCGCCAACCATCTTAAGCTCCGCGAGTTCATTAGTTTTGGCTGATGCAGAGTAGATAGGAGGAAGAGTCCGCCGGTTCATCTTTTTGTTTTTGTTATCATTCCCAATACTTCAGAAACAATTTGGCCAGCCATAATTAAAACAACAGAAAATTGATCGTGAAATATTGACGTTTCAGACCCGGTACGCAAGACGGACTAAGAGAAAACATTGAAAAAAAAAAATGTTAATCCAACAAAATCTGCAAATGTCCGGATACTCTGGAGGTTGCTGAATGCAAGAAGAAACATAGCTGGAGGAAGGTGTGGGATGCTGGTTGGGAAAAAAAAATGCTTTGGATTTGGTTTCTCAGCACTCCTGAGAATGCAGCATTGATAAATCCGCCGCTCACAAAGCCAAAGTCGTAACCAAGAGGCACAAAAATAAAGATTCCCTTGAAGCGGATGACAAGACATGAATAAAAATGCTCCTTCTCGCTCAACGTTTTCCAACCTTGACTGAATACAAATGATCTTGCAGTCCTCTTCCATGTGCAAATTATTTGAGGTTTCTTTTTTGGGCGGATATAGCCTCGTCTCGATCGAACAGTTTTGTTTTGTTTTGCGTGGTGTGCATTTTATAAAGTTTCTTTGGTATATGGTCGCAAATGATCCCGCATCGTACCATGTCCCTCTTCTGTAACCTTGTGCGACATATTGTTTTGTTTTTTTTTTAAGTTGAGGTTGGATCAACACTTCATAGTGAATTCTATTTGAATTACCGGTAATAGACAAACGGATCATTTATAAGTCGAGAGAAATATGAGGCCCTTTACGGTGCTGCAGTAATTCCCAGCTGGACTGGAGAACTTAAAGTCTTGTGTACACTGACTCCTCCTGGTTCTCACACTCCATTTTGTACAGTGTGGGTCTACTGAGAGTACACGTTGTCCCCGCTGGGACTCCCTCCGCTCCCCTACTGCTGCTACCCCACCTCTACTCTATCCCTGGCTCGATGTGTCCCACATTCCCTTCCCGGCCACACTAATTGTTTTTTGTAATTATTTTCACCCTTCTGCTCTTGTGAAAGGAAGCAGCTGCACAACTGCTGACAAATTAGCATGAGCGTCACGACACCTTCAAATGATCACTTTTTTTTTTTTAATTGTTGTGTTAGTGTGAGGCATATAATGATGCTAAATCAAAAGTAGAATTGCAGCACAAGTGTGCCCTGGACTGACATTTAGCAGGGATTCCGAACCACCAGACGGTGGGACTTTAGTTACTGGGTTGAACAAAAAAATAAAAGTTTTAATAATTTAAAAATCAGGTGCAGCCACTGCATCCAGAATATCAACAGTCATACTTAAGAGTCTCGCATAAAAAATAAAATAAAATAAATAATAAAATAAAATAAAGGCTGCTCTGTGCAATATGTGGCAACAGGCTAGTGAGCAATTTACTATTTTCGTGTTTGTTTCTGTCAGTCTGTCAAACTATTGCTTCATGTGAAACCAGTCTGTTGCACAATAATGGTCAGGGGCTGCCGCTGTAAAATTGTCGTCAAAACCGATAATGTACAAATATTTGATGTTTTAAAAGTTTTTTGTTTTTTTTTGCAACAGGTTTCCAGCTCTAATTTCGAGACACAGAAGGCAATGCAGTGACGATTTATGATGACAAATTAAGTACTGTAAATTAAGTACAGGAAATTGTATTTTCATTGAATTCTAAACTAACAATGTGTTCAACTTATTTTAAAACTATTCTTCTAAAACCACCACACTGAATCCAAATGACAACATAATATGGGGCATTACCAGTTCATCTTATTTAAACACTGTTTCCAAATCAGGTTTGCCTACGGTGGGGATTGCCATTCTCTCCCTAAATATGACAGTTTTGGGAGTCATGTGTCTCTTTTAACGCCCAAATATTTTTCTTTAAGATTGTTTCGTATATTTACCCTGCTTCGAAGGTACTCTGCGAGGTTCTTTCTCGTAAAGTTTGCTGCGGCTGCTGGGCTGAGTTCATAGCCTGCAAAGAAAACAAACAATGAACAAATAACTTAGACCAAGACTTTCGTCAAGTGGATTTATAGTCCAATTTGAGGTGCTTACCGTTTCGCATTTTGTAGAGCTGAACATTCTTCTGGATATACTCTGCAAACTGCACCGTGTCTCCCGCCTCTCCCACACACAGCAGCAAGATCTTCTCGCTTAGTTTGAACATTTTGTCATCGTCTGACACATAAAGGGAGCAATTAACTACCACGAAGTGCATCCAGAACATATAAGTCACTATCGGAAAGAATACAATACTGCTCACTATCGGAAAGAATACAATACTGCTGTCGGTGGACTGATTTTAAAACGCAATGACTTTCACTTTCGTTAGTATTTTGGGGCGAATTTGGTTACAACCTAACGAAACTTTCTGGTGTGGATAAGTTCTATATACTAACAGGATATGCATCTGCATTTGCGAATGTTGAAATCTAAATGGAAGACGGCAAAAGTCAAAAACAACCTCGTCATTCATAAAGGTGCAAATGTTGCCTTAGCTGGCGAGACATAGATGAATGCGACCACTTTTCGAAAAAACTAACGTCATACCTGACACACAAATACATTTCATTCAAGACGTCCTTCACTTTGAGTAATATCCGAACATAACATTCTGACATTTTTAGCCGGGTAGTAATGCTAAGCTAACACATTGTCACATTACCTTTTTTCAGCTGAAGAAAACTGCTCACTGCGACATTATCGGCAGCGACGAGGACAAAATCCGGTCCCTGTATGCCGATTAAATATTCCATTTTAAATTTCGAGAGCTATTTTAACAGAGAGTATTCAATATAAAAGACGCGTTCGAGCCGCGCTTGTACAGATTACACAGCAAAAGTTACTGGTAGTCGGCGCAGAGTCTATACGTCGCCGGAAATCGGATGACGTAACTAGTACGCGACGAGGGCGGGCATTTTGAACGGACTTTACTTGCTGTGTGTTTTTCGCCGAGCCCACTTCCAAAAAGAATATCTGTTTTTCTACGGGAGATCGAATGAAGGGACAAACACATACGACCCACAAGACGATGACGGATTCGAATAAAATAAACGACTCGTCGCAGCGAAGACGGTCCCCGCGGTTGACATCTCCTTTGGTAAATACGGAAAACAACATGGCGCGTAACAGTAACGCCCCAGTCAAGCGTTTCACTTTGAAGAAAATAGAGCCCAGGAAAACTACAATTGCAGCTGTGCACGACAAAGAAAACACGCCGAGACGATCAGAGGGAAGCCAACAGAAAAAGCAAAAGATTTCCACTCCTGGTCCGGTTCGGGAGACCCGGCGGTCCTCCGGTGCAAAGAACAAGGCCGCCATGCCATCGCCGATCCTTCCGCCATCGACGCCGGTCCAGCCTCGTCCGCAGCAGCCAGCCGAGGATGCACGCGAGGCGATGTGGTCGCAGAAAGTGCGTCGGTCCTACACCAGGATCAGCGACAAATCCTTCAACAGCCACGACGCCCGAGAAACTCTTTTTGGGTTTGAGATGCTGCAGACCCCCGAAGTGGGACGAAGCTTGAGTCGGGCTCAGACGACTCTGGAGGTTTCAAGTACCGCATCTGGTCCCAGTTCCTTCATTCTGGACGCCGAGGACTGCGTTCCGGACCCTGACATCCCCGGCGTGGCGTTGGCAAAGAAGAAAAAAAAACGAAGGAAGGTCCAGCAGATCGACGTCACGGAGCTGGATGCACTTTCGGCCAAGATGAACGCCGAGTTCCAGGAGGCTGAACAGTTCGAATTGGTTGTGGAGTGAAATAAACATGGAGACTGACAAAACACTGAACAGAGGGAACCTGACAGCATGTTGTGTTCACCGACATGCTGATTAAATGTTTGAAAGGACAGACAGTTCACTTAAATGTAATGTGTTGGTTTTTTTCACGTTCTAGTTGTTTTTGCGTGTTAATTCTGGCATAATGTAACGTATGGTCTTAATGGGATTTATTCTGAACCGTTTTCTCTTTTTTTTAATCACCATTGTATAGTTTACCTTGTTGCCTCTGTAAAGTCGTATGTGAGACAAGAGTAAAGGTGAAGTTGCCTACATTGTTTTCTTATTCTGTTTTATTTTAGTGACGAGAAAGTCCAATTCTACATTTGCTCATGAATAAATATTTCAGATTATTTTTGTCACTTGGGCTTGTGACATTGCAACCAATTATCAAGTGAAATATTTTCCAACCACATCGAATGCATATGCTTTCATGAAAAATATTTATCCAACACATTCAAAAATGTCCTGCCACAAAACCGAAAAACAAAACTGTGATTAGCTGAGCTGTCACGTAAATCTCCATCGAAGCTGCTGTCTCTAAGGTGTGCTTTGCGTCAGCTGCATGTTTTTTCAGTCAACAGGTGCAGAAGTGTGAATATGCAGGGGTCAACTGTAGTTTTAAGTTGTAATATCACCAATCGCCATTAGATGGCAGACATTGTTTAGTTGCGCTTACACTAGGCTTTTTACTGCACAATATTACAAAGTTAACTGGTTTAATTTAATGGTTTTATTTTATTTTTGTGCGGATTTGGAATGTTATGTACGACAAATATCGTACCTCAAAAATATTCCTCATTTCTTGTTCAGCAGTTTTGTGCTGTCCTTGAACGACATTTTTTATTTTTCAATGCAGGAGGCCAAACAAATCCACGGCACTCAGAATGACACAGCACACCCCTCATTTGAAACAGATCACTTTGATTGACAATGTTCTCTTTACTCTATACCGCAAGTATCAAGTTTGAGTTTTACACTAGTTGACAGTCGGTATGAATGTGCAGAGAAATAATGAATGTTTGTAGCCAGGGAGTAAATCCACAATTTACTCATACATTTAAGGATATGCACTGTTTGCCTCCTCAGGTTCCACATTGTGTCGGTACCCTTCATTTGACATTTCCGCTGCCTGGCAGAGGGGCATGTAGCGCTTCGTGCGAGGAGGCCTTTTGGTATATTTTTAACAAGTGAGCTTGTCACCATCACTGAACGCTACAAACAGAGTGAGACGGGAGCTGTCAACCAGCAGCAACTAAATCAAACTGCTGCCTTTTGCTTGGGAGCGTCTTCATGCTGATTTTTGTAGCAGGGTGGATATTTTACACTCTCAATATAGATGTGTTTTTCCTCTTTCCCTCCCATGCCTTTTCACCCCCCCTCCCCCACACCCCACAACCCCCCTTTCCCATTTCACTCACGGCAGTTGTCGCCGGTTCAGCTTGACTGCTTCGTTAGGGCTCATCATTTGCATTCAGATTAATTATCTAATTACTGACAAATGTCCGGCGGCCACCCCACACTCCGGCTCGTCATCTCGCAGCCTGTAATTATTTTAATCATTTACTTTCATCTGGAGCGTGGCTGCTTTACGCCTGTGTTTAGAGGCCATTCTTAATTACCCTGCCAAGACACTCTTTTTGAGAGGGGGGGAGCGGGGTGGGGGGGCGTTTGGGGGAGAAGAGAGGAATTGGGTGAGGGATTCGTGTGTGTGTGTGTGTGTGTGTGTGTGTGTGTGTGTAAAGCGAAGGACCAACAGGGACATGATCCAGAGGCTTTTTAAAGCACAGAGGAAGAACTCTCCTCTACTCCAGCCCCTCCCATCCAACCAACTAACTTCTTCCTCTCACCCCATCCTCCACAGACCCCCCCCCACTCCCATCCCTCCCCCCATTGTACTTCCTCTCCCTTTCCCCCCTTTATCGCAAGCTCACACAGGAATCGCCCGTGGGCTTCAGTGCGCCGACTGCTAATACGCTCGCACACACGCACACACACACACACACACACACACACACACACACACACACACACACACACACACACACACACACACACACACACACACACTACATACAAGAGAATCGTGCACCCTATTTGTGGCGCTCATCAAAATGCGTACGTCTTTCCACTATATCTGCATGGAAAATCTATACTTGTCTGGGCTCGATCTGTCTGTTTCTGTTTTCCCGCCGCATCCCTCCACCCACCCACCCATCCAACCAATGCACCTGCACTACAAGTCTTAACATCTCTCGGTTTCCCGTGTCCTTATCGCAGTGTTTGGACAGCCTGGCATGAGGCCTGCTGCTCCCTGTCTCCCCCAATGAGGGACGGTAGGTCACCCCTTCCATCCCTCCCTCCACGAGACCGCTCCATAATGATGCTCTCACTCAACCCCTCAAGCCACGCGGCTTCCCCTCGCGCGCTGACTGCTCTTGTTAAGGATAGCCAGAGTGTGAGAGAAAGAGATACAAAGCGCCGTAATTGGCCCCTTGAATATTTAAGTCACTTGGGATGAAAGTTTTAATGAAAAGATGATTATCTACCAGTTTATCACACACACTGTTTCATATTTCATTTTCGTATGTTCCAGGCGAGCCGCGTAGTCTGTCTTGGCAGTTGTGGGGATGAAGTTTTTGCTGGGGGAAAAAAAAAGGCCGGAAAATAGTGCAATGGCGAGAAATAAATGCAGGGGGGGATTTTGCCAAATGGATGTGTTTCATTTCCAAGCGATTTAAACTTAACCCTTTCATGCATCCTGTAACCTGATAACATGATAAGATGTCCACTGTAGTAACGGCTGTCCCTCAAAGGGTTAATAGGTTCAGTGATTTCTTTCTTTCTCTCTTTTCGGTGAGAGCAACAAAATACCTTGAGCACCTTTATCTAAAATAGGGGTCACCAATGTTTTTGAAGCTGAGAGCTACTTCTTAAGAATTGATTCATGCAAAGGGTTACCGGTTTGAGTCAATCAACAAAGGCCATGTGAAAAGTGTATACATATGTACATGTATGTATATGAGTATACAAGTTGCAAGTATAACTTCTGTTGAATTGAAAAAAGTATCATATAAAGCAGGGGTCGGCAACCTATGGCTCGCGAGCCAGATGTGGCTCTTTTGATGATTCCATCTGGCTCGTAGATAAAACAAAATATTCTCGTTGGTTAATCCATCCATCGATTTTTTTCACTGCTCACGTTCTGTTCAGGGCTGCAGTTGGTGGCAGGAGCAATTTTAATTGGATGATGCTGGCCTACATAGGCCGTTGCTGGGGAAACAGGTAAACGCCCCCTTTTGAATCAGCCCGCTCGGTCATTAGTTCAAAGCTAATCCTGAAAAAGAAAAAAAAAAGATGACGAGTATGGTATATTTCAGACGAATGGACCAAAGGATTCGCCTTTGTGGAGAGAACAGGTTCTGCGGTGTGTCTAATTTGCAATGACAAAATACCATCGATGAAAGAGTCGAACGTAAAGCGGCACTTTGACACGCGCCATGCTACGTTCGCATCAAAATACGCCGCGGGAGACAGTAGAAAGGAAGCGTGCAAGCTACTGAACAGGGTGCAAGCTAGCCAGCTCTCACTGAAATACATTTCCAAATATTTTGCTTTCATGGCTCTCTTTAGTCAAAAGAGTTCCCGACCCCTGATATAAAGGGTTACAGTTTTCATTTAACAGTATCCTCACAAATGTTGTAAAATAAAATTCAGATCCACTCCAGCATGGGACTGTTCGGATCAAAGTGGGTTCTCATTCACGAACATTTTTTAGTGATCATATGCACCCAACGTCCATGCGCAAACTTTAATTCCCCGCAGGGAGACTTAACGCATCATATGGTAACTTAACACGCTGATTTCAGACCACGCTTTTTCTAACGCGTCACTCCCTCCTCAAAGACGAGCAAAAAAAAAAAAAAAAAAAAGCACAAGGACACACTTTTCTCTCCAGGATAAACAGACGGCTGTTTGTTATTCATTTTCATTCCAAATAATGGTGGGGCCATTAATCCCCTTTTTGCTCGAAGATGGTGTGAAAAAGCGGTCTTGTGCAGCTTTGACATGTAACAGTTTTACCAAATCCCTGCGGAATATGTGGGACTTGGGTGGGTTGGCGGGGGGGGAGCGGATTAAGCGAGGACCCTCACATAGCCTTAGGCCACAGTTTGGAATGGGACGCAAGAGATTAGACGCCAAGGTATGGTGCAAACAGCTCGTTTTGGAGGGGGGCGAAGAAGATGCAGCACGGGTCAGCATGGCGAACAACCGTCTTCCATTGCTAACTGTGGTCTGATCACAAAGCATTGACCTTCTTGTCGAAGCGTGAGAAGAAAAGATAAGACTCCATGAAAAGACACACGACGTGAGGCTAGTTTGCCAATTTAGCACGGATTTGCATTGCGTGTGTTATTTGATTGATTTTTTGGCAACGTCGCGCGGCTAAATTCGCGAGGCGCATTATTCAACAGCTCGGCCCGACAGACCGCCATATGTTGCCGCCGTCGCTTCAAAAATCGGAATCCAATAACTTGCGGAAAAGAGGCCTGCAGCGACGAAAGCGCGACAAGCCACCAAAGTGTGTTGATGTTGAGTTCCCTACAAGTCCCCGAGCAAAGCGCCATCTATATCTCTCTTCTGACTTATCACTTTGATCCTCCATTTCACAGCGCTGAGGTGTTCGTGACCTGCTCCCTATGTGGTCTTTGTGGACAAACTGTCAGCGTTTAGCTCCGTCTTTGCGCCACGGAGGAGGCATGTGGGGAGGGGGGGGGCGCGACAAGCCACCAAAGTGTGTTGATGTTGAGTTCCCTACAAGTCCCCGAGCAAAGCGCCATCTATATCTCTCTTCTGACTTATCACTTTGATCCTCCATTTCACAGCGCTGAGGTGTTCGTGACCTGCTCCCTATGTGGTCTTTGTGGACAAACTGTCAGCGTTTAGCTCCGTCTTTGCGCCACGGAGGAGGCATGTGGGGAGGGGGGGG